ATTTTTTCGGCCCGAGTTGGAGTTCCTATATCGGCCTACCCAGTAGAAGATTTATATATGTCCTTTCCTGAGAGCGCCGTAGGCGGAAATTTTTAAAATTTTCAAGGTCACGCGTTCTCCTGGCACTTTAGAATGTCCCTGAGAAAATCCATTTATGCAAAAATATAGACTTTTACAAGAAAAATTTAATTCATCTCTCAAAATATTAATAATGTGGAGTGAGTGGTATACATCGAAGTCCAAAGCTGACCGGCCCACCGAGTTTTACTCGGTAACTCGCCGGCCCATTCCGGGCCTGGTTAATTAGTGAAGTGATTAGTGTCGGAGTTTATAGTAACGTGGAATAAATTATTGTTGTGTTAATTGGACTTTTCTGTCACGCACCCCGGAGCCGTGACATTGGTGTCAGAAGTGAGATATAATTCGAGGACTGCGAAGTGAAATCCGATTGCAGAATAGTGCGCACACTAGTGAGTAGTGTGGACATTAGGTGAACACTGGGACAGTTAGTCAGTGTAAGCAGTGACAATCACCAAGAGACTTAACCGATTGTGTAAATTACCTCGGAAGTGACTGTATACCCGATTTTGACTGTGATAGTGAATTTTCAATAGTAATATAACTAGTGCAATGGAAATTATTGATAATTTTTGGGAAATTTGCCCAAATGCATTTTTAGTTGAAAAAGAGCACGAGTGCACGTAGTGCATGAGTGCATTTTTCAGTTAAAAACGCATGAGTGCAAATATGTCGAAAATTATAAATATATTTCCATTGCACGAGTTGTATTTAATGAGAGAATTTCATGAATCAAAAATTTAAATTTTTTGTCAAAAAATGTCAAAACACCAGTTTTCCCACCAGTTAGTATGCAATTATCTGATAATTTGCACTAGTGCAAATTATCGCGTAATTACAATCTGATTGGTTCAAATCAACAATCAAAACAAGTCAATTTATTGTTGGAATACCAGTTTTGACAGATGTATGAAATTCTCAATAGTAATATAACTAGTGCAATGGAAATTATTGATAATTTTTGGGAAATTTGCCCGAATGCATTTTTAGTTGAAAAAGAGCACGAGTGCACGTAGTGCACGAGTGCCTTTTTCAGTTAAAAACGCATGAGTGCAAATTTGTCGAAAATTATAAATATATTTCCATTGCACGAGTTGTATTTAATGAGAGAATTTCATAGATCAAAAATTTAAATTTTTTGTCAAAAAATGTCAAAACACCAGTTTTCGCACCAGTTAGTATGCAATTATCTGATAATTTGCACTAGTGCAAATTATCGCATAATTACAATCTGATTGGTTCAAATCAACAATCAAAACATGTCAATTTATTGTTGGAATACCAGTTTTGACAGATGTATGAAATTCTCAAGATAATTCTAGAACATTCTATTCGAGAATAAAGCATGTTATTCAATTTGTAACGTATTTGGAACTTCAAGCAAAGACAAGGAAAGATATTTGTAGAAAGTTTGAGGAAAATTCCAGAATATTCTGTACATGCCTATTACGAGACGACCAGCAAAAATGGAAGAACAAAAAATTGAAGAACTTCTGCTTAAAATGTTAGAACTTCAAGTGGCCAAATGACAATAAGACGAAGAGGCCAGGCGACAAAAAGGAAAACAAGAAGAAGAAGAAGCTAGATGACAACAAGAAGAGGCTAAACGACAAAAAGAAAAACAATAAGAAGAAGCTAAACGACAACAACAAAAACAAGACGAAGAGGCTAGGCGACAAAGAGAAAAACAACAAGAATAGGCTACGCGACAAAAAGAACGGCAAGACGACTTTGGACAACTGCAGAAAATATTTCAAACCATACAAGGATCTGTCAGTAACCTGGAACAAAAGATTAAGGAAGTGGAAGCCGAAGTTAAAGAAGGATTGATTTGATTTGCTTATAAGTTTCAATGTTCAATTCTTGAGTCTTCCCGGCTCTTGATTCCAATCGAGTGCCTGGAATAACCACTCAGATAATTTTTGAATTTAGCAACTCATTTAAAATGTTCCTACAATAAATTCGTCATTTTGTTCTCGAAGATGAAGGCTTTTATGTCAATGAGTAGCTACAAAATGACATCAGAATTGATTCGATATAATCTTTTTTCAATGTCTCATGTTCGAATATTCCAGGCTTTTAATTCGAATCAAGTACCTACCTGGAATAATCACTCAATTGGATAATTCTTTAAAGTAGCAACTCGTTTGAAATGTTGTTTCCATGAATTCGCCATTGTGTGTTGTGATGTTTCGAGCCGAAAAATGGCATCAGAATTGATTGGATTGGTTGCAAGGGAAACAGTAAACCAGTTTATGCAAATCGGGGAAATGAACAGTTCTATTTACGAGTTTATCTACCCGATATTTTTAAAATGGATCAAATACCTAAGAATTTCTTTTTGAACGATACCTGAAACCTTGCTCCCTCTGTCCAGATAAAAAAATGAAATTCGATATTATTTTGATATAGTTTCCTCAAACATCTTGCAATTTTTTCATTTTCAATGTTTCTCCATGAATTATCCAGTATTTTCTGACTAAGCATTTCAAACAAGTTATTTTTGCTTAATTGCAATGAGCCTATTCGATACTTGCTGATGTAGTTATTTTTTGATTGCGTCATCTACTTTCCAGCAATTAATCCACTGGTACCAATTTTAGTACAATTCCCAGCACCCTCTAAAACCCGAAACCTTTACTTTGGTACGGTGCTGGCAAGTGGTACCCCGCTTTGGGTATTCAAGCTACATAGCTTCAAGGCGAAGAACCACAACCGCGAGAACCCAATCACTGATTTAAAACTTGGCGCGAGGTGCAGTTCATTATGCATTTCGTCGATAATCAAGTGGATTTCTAAATACGTGTCGTGAATTTTTTGTTTTAGTTTAGTGAAAACTGTAATATGGCCAAAGATTTAGTTAGTTTTCTGATGTCTCTTCTCAGGATACAGGTGAGAATTTATCAGCATAAACTTGACTTTCGAAAAATTATCTTGATTGATCTCACATGCTATTATTCTAAGGTCAATCTCCACAAAGAATTTCTTTCACTATGGACATTGAAAATTTTAATTAATTTATTCTATTCATTGATTTATATTTAAAACAAAATTTGCACGCAATTCAAAATGCATAAGAAATATTGAATTTAATTGTTTATTTAATTAAATTTAATCAAATGCAAAAAAGCCCAAAATATTCATTACAAAGAGATTTTGGTTCAAAACTGGTGTTTTTTTTAATTAATAGAATATTCGAATAAATTGGTACACTACCGATAAGCCCGCGTGTATTTATAAATTAAATTTTCAGAAAGCACGTTAAAATGAATCATTTAGATAAATTACTACAGAGGGCAATAACTGCTATAAAGAATTTATCTTGTAATATTATGATAAGGAATACTGGGGGCATTAAATTCATTCATTGTTCTTTAATGGAAAATATATGCAAAAGAAAAATGAAATTATTTTTTTCTTGAATGGTAATTACGTTCACAAGTGGGTCAGAAATTCTTTGCATTACTTATAGCGGATTTATGGAGAAATTTTGTCTGGTCGTTTTTAATGTTTAACTGATTTGATTCGGTTTTTCAATTACATATTTTACACAACTTTGTGGTTATCTTTAAAAAAAACCCTTTACGATAAAAGACTGAAAAAAAAAGTACTGCACCTATTCTAACTTTAAAATAGCGTATCACGACTTCACAGCAGTACAAGGTTGTAACAACGTTGTTTTGACCACGAGAATGTGGCCTCTAAAAATTGGAGTCTCTTTCCAACGTTGGCATGACGTCCATCCCCAATTTATATGGATGAAGATGAAAGTAATTTTCAGACGTCGCTGCAACTGGAGTGGATCTTAGAAGGCTCAAAAAGGCAGTTGAGCTTTTTTTTCCATATTGGTACTTAAAGGAAATTAGAAAATCTTCCTAAAATCGTCTGTTAAAATACTTCCAGCCTGCACAGTGACTTTAACGGTTTACGAACTATACTTAGAATCAGAATCCCTGAAAGTCAATCTAGAGCTTGAAATAGATTTAGGAATGTTTATAGATGTTGAAGTTTTTAGAAAAATGGGAAATTCTCCTCCTAAAACCCTTTGAAACTTTGTCCAACTTTCAAAAGAAGAGTAAAAATTGAAAAATCCTCCTGAAATCAACAGTGAGAACTTAAATATTAAGATTTCAAATGTTGTAAACGGATAAGAATTGTCGACAAATAACTGCCCTTCACAATGCGTCTAAAAGCTAATAATTGCCTTTCTCTTTTTAGTCTAAGGGCCTTATTTCAAATTTTCTCGCGTCATCATCGTTTCCGGTTAACCACAATGAAAATAAACCTCCTTGAAATTTTTCTATTACAAACACGTTTAATATTAAATCAAATCATACTTTAATTAAAAAGCCTGTTTTCCGGAAAATACATATTCAAATTGTGCCTGCAGGAATTACCTTACCAAAAACCGTAAAAATGTAAATATTTCGACTATCTGCCCCACCTATTTTGAATAGTAATCCCTTGGTGAAATATAACTAAATAATTCCTACGAAAATAATAATATGTATCTATATCAGTGCTTAAAGTGCACTTTTTGAGATAAGCCTTTCAAAACTTTAAATTACAGTCCCAAAGGGATTTAAATTAGATTTAGGTGAGCCAATTTTATATTTCTAGCCGCACAAAAATTGTTTATTAAACCTTGATATACGCGGATAAATTGCAATTTTGAAATATTAATATTTTTAAGTCTCTGGCAGTTAAATTTTTAATGTTCGAGTTTGTTATGCTGCATAATGTTTTATTGACACAATACTATAAAAATTGTTAATGACTTTGTTATGATTTGTATGCCTAATTGCTTTGAAGCGGAAAAATCTTTAATTAGGCAAACATTTATACTGAGATAAACCATGTAGAAATAGCAATCTATACTAGGAAGTATTTGTTCTTAAGATTCTCTTATCAATTTGTTGCAGGCTGACGTCAAAAACCAGCAGCAGCAAAACCAAACCCACCAACAACCGCAACGCTCGGCGACCAGACAAGTTCGTCGGACGCGCAGCGATCTGGGCGGTCAACGTCTGCTCGGCTGGGAGCAGCGACAGGCTGCGCGCAAGTTGCTGCGCAGCATGGCGACGTCGCGACGACCGCTCAGTCCGCGCAAGCGCCCGCCCGACGAAAACGACGAGGACGGTTTGGTGGTGTTGCGCAGGAACGTGCACGGAGCGCCGCCCAGACGACCCGCTTTGCGACGGTCGCTGAGTCAACCGATCGATATCGATAAAATGTCACCGTTGTTGATGAATACCAAATCTTTAACAAGTATGTATATGAAGTTTGTTTAGTGTTTTGAGAGTTTGTTTGAAATTCTAGGGATTAGTTTTGAATCTTTTAAAATATGTAGAGACACAGAGTAGAGGTTAAACTTAAGGAGCTTTGCACCACATCTTCCGTTTTTATATGAACAAGTAAATAACAGCACACAGGAGAAACACATGCAAATAAGTTCTGACACAGTCCACTACGTAAGACAACACTGGAACAAATTGGAAGAGAACCTTCTACTTAGTTCCACAGAGTTAAACGCTGCTACCTTCTGGTTCCACATTCGCTGTACTTCAATCTGCAGATCTTTATATTTAAGCATCTTTTCAGCTTCCTTCTGCGTTAGGTTATAGTCAGAAGGGATGGCCACATATATTATTAGGCAGCAGTGCTTTTTCTTCCTATCTTTGACTATTAGGTCTGGCCTGTTTGCAATAATTATTTTCCTGTCAGTGTGTAATTGTGTATTTCATATGATTGTTACATCTTCTGTTCCTACTACAGGGTCCAGGGTATGCTGGTACCACTTCTCGTTTACCTCTATCTTAAAGTGTTTGCAGAAGTTACAGTAGAGCTGCCTGGCTACTGTGCTGTGTCGCTCCAGATACGAATGTTTTGCTATAGAATGGGGTAGCCCGCAACAATATGGTGGATGGTTTCACTAAAGGACCGGCACAGTCTGATGCATTTTGGGTCTGTATCGGTTTTCATGATTTTCGTTTTGATGTAATTTGTTGTGATGGCTTGGTCTTGGCAGGCAGTTATCAGCGCTTCTGTCTCAGTCTGTAGGTTTACATGGGAGAACCACGCCCACGAGTTATTATCGTTGATGGTTTCTTTGACGGCCTCTTTTGCTATTTGTCCATGCAGTGGCTTAGCTTCCTATTTCATTATTCGTTCTGCCTTCATCTGTTGTTTTAAATTTTGTCTGACTTCTTTTACTTTTGTTGTTTCAGGTTTGTCGCGGTTGTTGTGCTGTGGTAGTTCTCTTGCTTCTTCATATTATTCCTCCGTGCTGTTGTATTCTTCAGGGGCACCTTGTTGTTGTCTGTACACCATTCCCAGATATTTCTCGTGTTCTTTCAACTCTAGGTAACTGCTGATTCCCTCCTTAGCAATGTTGTAGGTTGTTTCAATACTTATAATACCTCTGCCTGTACAGTCGCTCAGCTATCAGTTTTGTCAGCAGCTTGTAGATGTTGTTTAAGCATTAAGCAGGTAATCAGTCTGGAGTTCTTCGCTTGTTCAGTGTGCTTATTCTTGGATATTAGGAACGTTCTTCCTTTTGTCAGCCATGCTGGTATGTCTTGCTCGTTGTTGATCATATCGTTGAATGCAGACGTTAGCTTCGTATGGGATTATGTCAGTTTCTTTAGCCAGAAGTTGGTAATGCCATCTGCTCCTGGTGCTTTCCAATTTGCTGCATTGTTGATTGCTGTTCTAAGTTCATATTCTGTTAGGTTCTCCCGTTTAATTCTGCCGATGTTAGCTATCTTGTCATATTCCTGTTGAATCCATGGGGCTGTTGCATTATGGGTGGTATCTTGTACCCATATTTCCCTCCAAAATGCTTCGACTTCTTGCTTGGGTCGCGGTGTAATTTTTTTTCATGATACTATTGTAGAATCGGCTGATGTTCTCCGCGAACGTTTTGCTCTGCATGTTTTGGCTGCCACTTTTTGTTTCAGTTGTTGTTTTTGTATGTTCTTTTTGGTTCTTTATTTCATACTTTTTGTACAGATCTTCCTTCCGTTGCATCATCTCGCCTTTAAGGTTTGGTCGTTGAGACTCTTTGAGGTGTGAGCGGCTCCGTCTCATCTCCGTTATTTGTGATTGTATTCTCTTTTTTCAGAGTGGATTACAGACCACGGCTTCGTTTTTGAAGTGGTTGATTTCACTGGAGGTGTTATTTTGTCTTGTTTCCGCAGTCGCATAGATGAATTTGTTCAGTTTTTTGATTCTCTGGTATGCTTCAGGCTGCTTTGAAATGATTTCTTCTATAACTTTGTTGCCTAGTCTTATTGGATCTCTTAGTTTGGGATTATCGTTGAGTTTCCTGAGTGGTTGTTTTTGCATATTATGTTCTCATCATCTTGTATTTTTTTGTTTACCTCATCTAGCATAGTTTTTAGTTCCAGGTCGTCTTGATGATAGAGTATTAGCGGGCTTTCTGTATTTATGATGTCAATGTCGTGAGCATTCTGATTGTTGTTTACTTTGTTAGTGTTCAGATCTTCTTCGGCATCGCTTTCTTAGCTTGAGTTATCCTGTTACACTTTTTCATTTCTCAAGAGATTCTTCACTCTGCACATGACTTCATCTAATTCAGTTTTGAACATCTTCTTGTTAAGGATGAATCGCCTCTGTGTTGCCAAGGTGTTAGCTGTTAAGGCATGTGTGCTGTGTGGGGTTTGCATTTTTCTGTTTCCACAGGGTATAGGTGTCTTTCAGCTTCGCCGTTCCCGTTTTCTCTATTGTGTAATAATGACATAGTGCTATCTCTTTGTATTGTTCTATGATCCATTTTACTGTATTTTGGTTTCCATCTTTTGTTTTACTAGTTGTTGTTCTCTTTGTGTCCTTCGATAAGGGTTCTTTATTTGTACTCTGTGACTTTTGGAGTTTTTTCCTTGTTCTGGGGTTTCTGGGCTTGCTTTGGTGTTTGTTTTCGGGGTTGCTACTTTTGGTGCTGACATCTTTTTCACTCACTTGATTTCTTCTAGCATTGTCTTAAGTTGGCTTTACCATTTCTTTTTGGGGTGGAGTTTCATCTCTTTTCGGGTTTCTTTGGGTTTTGCTTGGTTTCTTGTTGTTGGTAATCGTTATCATCATTGGAGCCACAGGGCTCATCTTCAATGCCACCACCAACACCATTAAAGAAATTCCAGGAAAACAATTTCTCCTGCAAATGCCTAAAAACAGTGGTCTTGAGTACTACCCATATAGTACGGAAAGTAGGTACTATAAAACCCATCCCAGTCATCAGCTACCAAAGAAACACCATAGGTGCACGGAGTGCACTCGGTGCTGCTCAATACAAAGAAAACCTTAAAAGAAACTAAGTGGAAGAAACAAATAATAATAATAGATAATTTGTAGACAAAGTTTTGAAATTAAAAATATATAAGGATTATACTATATATCTACATGTATACAAAAAAAAAAACTTGTAGATTGTCCATCAGAATCGGCTTATCATTCTGTGTAGATTGGCGTAAATTAGCTTCATGATATGAGTTGCCAACCATTAACCAATGGAGTTCTATGATTGTCAATTAGGTATTTGGTATTGAAAAGAGGAAGTTCAATGGTCCAAAATCTGAGTTTATAGTCTAAGATCTGATAGCAATCAAAGTTTGGAATATTTTGCTTCTGAAACCAGCGCCAGATAGTTTTTTTCTGGAATAATTAATACAGCATGAACTTCGCATAATAAATCCCTTAAAGATCAAGACGTGCCTTGAATATCTAGAAATAACCAATGATTATCTCTAGAAAAACTGTCCAGCAAATCAAGAGCCGGTAAATGAGCAAAATTCAGACTATTACCGGCTCTTGATTGGCTGGAAAGCAATCAAAAGCCGGTAATAATCAAGATTTTCTTCGATTGAAAATTGATTAGCAAATCAATAGCTGATAACAATGGTTTTCCAGTTTTTCATATGAATCACATCTCTTCCATCTTTCCATTCTTTAATTTCTTTAGCACGATGTCTTCCATTGTCGTTGTACGATGATGTAACGATTTTTTTTCCACATCTTTCTTATATGTAAATTTGCTCTTTGTATTAAGGTAAATAAATTTGAAAAGATGTGTTACTTTGCTTGATTCAATCCCTCCAAACTTCACATATAGAACCTGATTTGCTGGTAAAGGTCAAACAGGCTCAGACAATTATAGTTAGTAGCTTCGTAGAAGATAAACAGCAAAGTGATCGGAAGTATAATTCTTATAAGTTGTATTGTCTTTCTTCTGGAAGAGAAAAATGAGTAGTAAGTTTTTTCAGGATTCTGGAATTTCCCCTTTTTCAATATGGCATTTGTTCAGTAGAGTTATTAGTGTTTCTTCTCCAGCTTCCAGCATCTTTTTCAGGATTTGATTTCCGGGAGATACACAGTTCTTCAATTGAGTTATTACGTTACTACTGATGGGTTCTAGTTCTTCTGAGCTTATGTTTAGGACTGGTTTTTGCAATTCATCTTGCTGGTCTTATGTGTGTGTTGGAGGTGTCAGTTGAACCGCGACCTAGGTTGATCTATTGTACCCCTCCTTCTGCTGCTAAGTTCGAGTTTCCTGCTCAAAGCAGCCTCTCTAGTTCTCGGTCCTTTAGGAATTTCAGGATATCTAGCGGTTCCAGGGCTGGAATGTCTTCCAGCTGTAGGTATAAGGGCACTTCCCAGGTTCTTGATTATTGTTGAGCGACTAACGCAGTTCAGTAGAAAATGGTGACATGTCTCTTCTCCGTCTTCACAGAATCTGCAGGTGCCACCTTCTTCTAACCCCAACTTCTGTAGGTGTTTCTTAAGTCTGCAATGTCCCGAGATAAACCCGGTTAAAGTCTTGAGACTTTTCTTGCTAAGGTTGACCAGCAATTCTGATCTTTTCTGGTTGAAGTTGCCCAATAGATGTTTGGCCTGTCGTAGTCCTGGCTGTTCTAGCCATTGTTTGTTCCTTAGCCGGTTCTCTTCTTTTTTGAGGATTTTTTTGAGGTGCGCATTTCCGACGCCGCAAAATGGTTGTGGTCCAGTGAAGGGAGTAGACGCTCCCGTTCTTGCGAGTCTGTCTGAGCATTCGTTGCCCTCGACACCTATGTGTCCGGGCACCTAGAGGAGGGTTACTTTATTTTGCTCTCCCAGCTCATTGAGTTTCTGCAGACAATCCCATACTGTCTTAGAATTGATGACCGGGGATCTCAATGCTTTGATAGCTGCTTCACTGTCAGACATTATTACAATCTCTCGTTTTCGATAACTTCTGTTCAAGTTGAACTGCACGCATCTGCCAATTGCATGAAGTTCCGCTTGAAATATGCTGGGTGATTTCCCCATTGGCTCCGAGTATCTTGTCCGTGGCCCGAATACTCCGGCTCCAGTTCCCTCAACAGTTTTGGAACTGTCTGTGTACCATTTGACAGTGTCTACTCTAAGGGATTGGATAGATTCCATGTTCCATCTGTTTTTTGTACTTAGTTCGATGGAAAAGTTTTTCTCGAAACTGAGTTTATCAACAATCACGGCTTTTGGTAGATACGTGAGGTGTGCACAGTTTGGGAGAGGAAAAGTTCTACCAAGGTGCGTGGATGGCCGACATAAGAACAGTGGCAGGCAAACAGTGGCAGGCAACCAGTGGATGAGATTGGCGAAGGATAGAGAAAGATGGAAACAATTAGGAGAGACCTACATCCAGGTGTAGATGGATAGACTAACTTGCTTCCTGATTGAAAATATCCCTTATTCCACTTGTTTCTTTGCTCGATTATGCGTATTTTGATCTTATGATGCTCTTGTTTAGTTCCTTCTTGAGATTTGATTTGTGTTTCCTCATGAATCTCTCTCTGTTCTTTTCGCTTGTTAAGATTGGTTCCTAAATTATTCTCTGTCCAAGAAAAGTTGTTGCAAGGATTGAACATATCAAAGTTCTTTTCAAATTTTTTGTTTGTTTCAGGTCAGCCAGGTACAACTACGACTACAAACGACCTAGAAAATCGCATAACGAGCTCAGACGAAGACACTATGTCAGATTCAGACGTCTCATCCATAGCTTCGCTAGGCCGACACAAAAACTCCTTGGATCTTCCAGACCCTGACGAAGACGTGGTAGTCTTAGCTGAAGCGGTTTTCGATCATGTAGCAATAGAAGCTGACGAGTTACCATTCAGAGCTGGCGACGTTATCGAAGTCGAAGATACGGCGGACCGGGAATGGTGGTGGGGTTCGAATAATTCAAGATCGGGGTAAGGATTTTGATTTTGTTTTTAATTCAATGTGTATTAATAATGGAGACATTTGTAGTTGGTTTCCAGCACAATTTGTCCGATTAAAAGTCAGCCAAGAGGATACGGTCGAAGATTGTCTAGCGGCTATAGCATCTGGTCGACCGGTGTCGACGCAGATTCGTCGTAGGACTAGCATTTCGTTGTTATCGAACGATCAAGTGCGGACTAGTGTGGTGCGCGAACTGGTGAACACCGAACGGGATTTCGTCAAAGTTTTACGGGACGTTTCCGAGGGTTACATATCGGAATGTAGGAAACGGAAAGACATGTTTTCCGAAGAGCAAATATCTAGGATTTTTATTAATTTAGAAGATATACTCGAATTTCAATTGGAGTTTCTCCGAGATTTGGAGAATTGTATCAATTGGGAGGCGCCTTACAAAACTTGCCTGGGCGATTGCTTTTTGAAACACAGCGAAGGGTTTAAAATGTATTCGGATTATTGTAATAGGTAAGAACAACTTTTATCTAATAAATACCTAAATATTTGATTGAGGATCACTATGCTGATATAATTACTTGATTATAAAGGGGGACTAGTGAATGGGCGTATTCTTTTGAGGAGGTGAAAGTAGAGCCTATCATCATCATCATTAATCAGCCCATCTGCGTTCACTGCTGAACATAAGCTCCCCTTAGAGTGTTCCATCGTCTCCGATCTTGTGCTGTACTCATTGCTTTCGGTACTTTTCAGGTCAGTCCACCTCGTTGGTGGACAACTAAAGGAGTCCTGGCGTGATCTCCATTCCAGAATTTTCTCACTTCAGAGATTTCGCGCGGTTCCTATACATAAAACACGAGCATATGCTTTCACTTAAGTTTTTTGAAATAAACATATCCAGCTTTGATGCAGCAAAAAGAGACGGAGGTAGAGTAAACGCATTTGCTATACTTTATTCATAAGACTGATTTTCTCATTGGGTACTCGAGCTTTCAATGAAAGGCCCAGCATTACCCTCTCCATCTTTCTCTGAGCCATTTGTATCTTTTCAGCAGATTTTCTTGTATGTGTCAATGTTTCTGCTCCATAAGTGAGAACGCTGAGGACACACTGGTTAAACATTTTTCTTTTCAGGAAATATGGTATATTTGACAGAAAAGTATGACTGAGTTTTCCAAATGCTGCCCACACAAGCCCTGTTGGTCTGGTTATTTCTCAAGTTTGGTTATATCTTTCAATACGAATTTCCTGTCCTGGATATTTATAAGAGCGGACGTGCTCTATGTGATGTTCGTTGTTCATTTATTGATATGTTATCTTATTACTAAGTTGAAGTTGGACATATACTGGGTTTTGCTCACATTCATTTTAAGCTCAACATTTTTTAAGGCTTTGTCCAGCATCTTTTTGGCTTCACCCATGTTATCGCCCAAAAATACAATATCGTCTGCAAATCTTAAGGTGACTCAATTTCTCGCCGTTTAAGTTAATGCCCATATTTCCAAAGTCTTCCCTTCCAAATATATTCTAGAATTACTGTCGTCAGTACAATCATGTAATAATTCATGGATCTCATTTGCTAACGATTAAACATCATTTACCTCTATACCATTCTTAAAACGGTTTTTGGGAGATTTTTAAGAAGTTCCTTCAAAATTTCACAATGTTTCAGTTGGATTTTAGCTCTGAGAGGGTCAAACAAGCTTTTCAACCAGTTCCAGCCCAACTTTACCTCTTGAATGGTCAAAAATCAAAGTTATATATACTTTTCTAGTTTAATTTCAGGCATTAGGAGCGCCGGGAATAAAATTTTCATGCTTTTCTAATTTAAATTTTAGCCTGGAATAATTTTGCGAGGTAGATATTTAAAATTAACTACAGGACCGTACCTAATCAAGGTAAATATTAACTGTCGAAAAGGAAATAAATATATTTCTTAAAAACCGTTAGGAATAATATATAGAGGTAAATAATGCTTAATTGGTATAGCAAAAAGGCTTTAATTTTACCTCCTCGAAGGAAAACACTTACAAGTCACCCTGTAGAGAGACAAAGATTGATCCTAGTTCAGAAAAGTAATGATTTGTAGGACAAACTCCGATTTTCATCTAAAAGTAACAGATTTGATAAATCGACAAGTGCCTATATTGTATGCGCCTCAAGCACGTCATCGTAACACCAATACGTTATAAATTGAGAAATCTTTCACAGGCGTTCTTATTCGCAATATCCAATATTGCAGAAAGACATTTTATTTAAAATTGAAAATTTAATCTTTAGTCATCCATTGGCAACTGCAGCGCTGCAAGACCTCTACCAATGCAACAACTACAGTAAGTTTTTCGAAGCCTGTAGATTAATGAGAGGGCTGATCGAGATACCTTTAGACGGCTACTTACTTACTCCAGTTCAAAGAATTTGTAAATATCCATTACAATTGGCCGAATTATTGAAGTACACTCGTATGGATCATGAAGACTATTCCAAAATTAAGGAGGCTTTGAAAGTAATGCGTGACGTTGCTATGTTGATTAATGAAAGAAAAAGGAGGATGGAGAGTTTGGAGAAATTGGCGGCATGGCAACAGAGAGTTGATGGATGGGAGGTAAGTTGAAAATTATATTTTAAAAAATTAACTGATAAGTTATCTTCTTCCTGTTTACCAATGGCCCCTTGTCGTCAAACAACAGTCAGCCAGAATCTTTGTATCCTCGAGTGCATCGGGTTGAGGTTACTCCACTTGCCAATAGTTTAGGTTTCAATTGGGGATGAGTAGGTAATTTTTTCCTGTGGCGTGTACAGCGGGGAATTTGGAAACGCAAGGGAAATAGGAGAATGAACATATAAAAACCAAACACATTTTATAAGCATTAGCACTTAATAGCATTCTAAATCATGTGCAGCACACTACTGGTTATATTCAGATTCTTATATCATAACCATCTCTGATTCCCTGCTGGTTGGATTTGCAAGAATTTCTTTCATCTACCTATATCGGTCCTCCTACCATCTTGTTCAGTCTTGAATAAAACCAATCTGTCGGACCTCTGTCCAGCTCACAGTTTAAGAGCACATGATTGATATCACTCACTTCACCACAATCACAATTATCACTGTCCTGCATGCCAAGTTGTATGAGGCAATGTGTAGTTCTGATTCTGCAAAAGACACAAGTTTTTTGTCTGTCGGCCTATTTAATTTTTGCAAACCACGGTGTTCTTTGGGGTTTCTTCTTTAATTTGTAGTATTGGCTTTATTGATTTCCACCTTTATTGGTAAATTCCACAGCCTATTGCCCTTTGCCTTCATGTCTCTTCCTTAGCTACTTTGAATAAATCATCATAGTGTATAGTTCTGTTGATAGCATTATTTGCCTCTCGGCCTCTTCCAGCAAGTCTATCTGCCTTTTCTTTTCCTGTTATGCCTGTATGACTAGGCACCCACAGTATTTTAATTTCCTTTCCTCCATTCTGCATATCTAATATTTCCTTCGTCGTTCTCAACGTGATTTTATCGGTCCCTCTGTTGATGCCGGCTCTGACAATTTTCGAAATGGCACTTCAAGTATCCGGTATTAAAACAGCTTTTCCTGTGTCAATCTCTAGAGTATTGAGGGCCGTATAGATGGCTAGCACCTCCGCTGAACAAATGGTTAGATCCTGGCATTTTCCTATTATTGAGATTTTTCTTGTGTTGTTGTATATTCCATTTCATGGTCCGAGTATTCCTCCAACAACTCCTGTAATGAGAGTTGGCCATCTGCGCTGAACTTTTGTATATTCGAATCCACCCAACCTATTTTCCGCAGTTGAGTTGTCATATCCTCTTCCAAACATGGCAGATTGTCCATTCTTTCCAAGATTCCTATGTAGGCCAACACATAATCCACCCCCTCCATTACCGCTGGAGCGCACTTGGTCCGCCAATAAGGAGGATCCTGATTGTAACAAGCATAAAAGTTGAGTATTACCCTATTGACCTCATCCCCTCTAATGGCTACCTTTCTGAGCATCAACTTTGTACTAAGTAAGTTCTTTCGCTTTATCAATGGCATTTCTGCCGCTTCAGATAACAACGTCATTATAGGAGTGCTCTTCGTGCAGCCAGTCACCACTCTCAAGGCCTGGTACTGAATGCGATCCATTTTGCTAGATTTCATCTTGCTTATATGGTACATCGATTGACTACCATAATCAAAATGGGTTCTAACCAGAGCTTTATGAATGTTCAACAATATATTTGGGTCAGTGCCCCACCAGGTTCTTGTAATTGCTTGTTTCACTTCAACTTCCTGTACAATATGACACCCAAGTACTTGTTTTGCTTGCTTTGTTCACAGTATACCCTTCTCCATGCTCTTCCGCACATATCGGACATCTTTGTTTATCTCGGCACTGTTTGGCCGTATGGCCATATCTCAAACATTTGAAACCGAGGGGTATTTCAGTAGTGGAGTTGTGTACACTAAATTTCCACTTCTGACAGAAATTACCACAAATTATCAGTAATTACCTCTAAACTACCACTTTTTTCCTGTATTATACCTTCCATTGCCTCAGGGATTACCATACTCAATGCCACTTAAATTACCACTTATTACCTCTAATTTCCACTAAATACCACAAATTTATTTAAATTTTCAAGTACTTATACCCGAGATTTAGAACTCAATAACATGTTGCTAAGTTTAACAGCAACTATAAGTGTTGGTTGGCATAATTGCTTTTATCTAGTTTAATTGGTCGACCTTTGAAGTTAAAGGAACAAATCGAGACATTAAAAGAAGAGCAAATCAAGATATTAAAAGTTGAAAAAGAGAAACACTCGAGGAGGCATTTCAATATGTCTCAAAGAAAAAAGGATTCCAAAATCCTGCAAAATTCAAGTTCCATCTTCTAGAAACTGGATAAAAATAATTTTATTGATTTTGAAGGAACAAATCGAGATGTTTAAGGAAGAGCAAATCAAGATGTTGGAAGTCGAAAAAGACAGACACTCAGAGAGGCATTCTAACATGTCTCGCAGAAAAAAGGATTCCAAAATCCTGTAAAAACTCAAGTTCCATCTTCTAGAAACCGGATAAAAATCATTTGATTGATGTCGAAGGAACAAATGGAGATGTTAAAAGAAGAGCAAATCAAGATGTTGAAAGTTGAAAAAAAGAGACATTCAAGGAGGCATTCTAACATGTCTCGAAGAAAAAAGGATTCCGAAATCCTGCAAAAACTCTGTTTCATCTTCTAGAAACTGGTTTGATTGATGATGAACGAACAAATCGAGATGTTAAAAGAAGAGCAAATCAAGATGTTGAAAGTTGAAAAAGAGAAACACCCAAGGAGGCATTTCAACATGTCTCGAAGAATAAAGGATTCTAGAATCCTGCAAAACTCTAGTTCTATCTTCTAGAAACTGGATAAAATCATTTGTTTGATGTTAAAGGAACAAATCGAGTTTACCAGTGATTTCAGAACATTCCCTCTATTTTGGATTTCATCTAGAAGACGATAATATGATAAAAAAAAAACGAAATTTTACACGCATTTGCAGTCAAAATCAATAAATGTTTGGTTAGATCGATCGTTCAACAACTCGTTCAACAGACACAATTTTAGAAATTAAACGAAATCTGACAACTTTGTATCCAGAGCTGTGCGGTACTCAGGTACAAGTACTCTTCACTTGTACTCTAAGTACATTTTGAGTTACTCGGTACTCAGGCCAAGATACTTTTCGAATTGTGTACTTATACTTGAACTGCTTAAGAATATATTATAAAATACCCGGTACTTTTAATTGTACTGAGTACATTTAAAAATACTCGAGTTCATGCTTTTATACTCGTATATATTTGTTATACCTGGGTATGTTCATTGTTTTCGAATACATTTGCAGTTACAGAGTAAAATTATTGGACTCTAAGTACATTTTATTTATTTGGCCACAAGTACATTTCCAGACAAGTTGACACCTGACATTATATGTTACGATACGACCAATTTTGTGGCATTTCTTGTTAATCTTGTTTAGCGTACAGATGCGCAGCATTCGTTCCATTGATCGTTGTGATTTACACACGAAAATCTTAAACTTTTCTGTGCAATGTGGCACTGTGTCTGTGACCGTAAATTTGAAAATTCTAAGCCCTTATAAACTCTGGACTCTGGCTAACCAAACCAAACTTTAAAATTGCGGAATTGATTCAAAGTAAACCAAAATGTGTTTTTTAATTTTTGATGTGTACCTACACATTTATACTGGCGGTTTGATTTGATGGTAAATTTCGGAAAATGGGACGGAAGTGTGAAACGGGATGTGACGTCATATCCCCATGCGCAGTGATTAGTGCGCAGCTATTTCAGCGCTTGTGGCCTAAGATGGCATATGATTTTCAAATGGATTTTCAGATCAATGATCTAGGCTGTTTAAAAGAGGAGGTTGCGTAATAACTTTGATGACGTCATTGATATGTAAGGTGGTACTAGAATGTATTCATAAATGTACTCGGTACTTTGAGTACTTGGGTATTGGATGCTTGTAATTGTACTCTGTACTTGAGTACATTTTGAGCTAAGTACTTGTACTTGATACCCGAGTACATTTGGCCTATACTCAAAACAGCTTTGCTTGTATTGAAATTAGCCATAGAGAATACACATAACCTCCAAATATGTTGGCAAATTCCCGTTTCAAAAATCTCTAAAGCTCCTCACAAATATTTGCATATTTGGCTCGGTATATGGCATCCATCTAGGATAGGTGAAAATCTAGAAAATTGAAACTAGACAATCAGAGAGACGGAAACACATAAACACCCAAATATGTGTAGCTATTTGCCGAATGTGTGATGGAGGCTTAAGGTATCATCATAATAGCTCTGTTCGAACCCGACATGCGAACCGTTCTAGAAGGGTAATTTCCAGTTGCCCACCTTTTTTTTCAATAAGTTGAACGTTTATCCTAATTGACAAATGAATTGATCTACTGAAAATTAACGGTTCTCATGTCGGTTGGAACAGACCTAATAATATAACAAGAATGCATTCTATCTATCACATTTAGGGTTGCCTACGCTCCCGATTTAGACGGGAGTCTCCCGCTTTTTTACTAAACCTCCCGCCTCCCGCGCACTTAAACAAAATTCCCGCTTTTCCCAAAAATAGAAATTACATGAAATATAATTCTGAATTAGGTGCCCTATTTATTTTTACCATAATTTTGATACTTCATTATAAATCTGGCAACCCAACGCAACTGGGGAGCTTCGATTAACGTCGAACGGCGGGCGCACTTTGATAACTGTTTATCCAAGTCCAGGATAGGTCCCAACATCCGTAAGTAGGCAGGCTGGCTGCCAACTTACTTGGTCCAAGTATAAGTTGTCTATTCCAGTGCCGACAAAAATTTTCCTCTTGTAAAAACTAAACTGGACAATTATTGCTTTCGAGCAAAAGGAAAATTTCGCCTCGATATGCTTGCAACCAAAATATTGACAGCAATTTTTTTCACAAAAAGTCAATCTGTCAGCCCGTGAAAACCGAAGGGCGATATTTGGTCTGGTTCCAGAAATATTGACCTTGAAAGTTAGGTGAAAAAATTTCCTTGCTTGGAAGCAATTGTCCAGAAGTTTATTATTGGTACGATTTTGTTCAAATTGCACCACTGGTTTCAGAGATAAGTTCCATTACTTTTCGTACACTCTATATAGTATAAAATAGAATGTGACAAAATTAGGGCGTGGCACCTCGAATATTTTTCCCTCCCTTTCAGTACAGTGGCTAAATAAACCTTTACATACAGTGGCGACAATAGAGGTCCCGCCGCCATCTTGTTCCCAACCTCTTGTTACTTTTAAATATTGATATATAAGATTTAAATGGACATCTATCATAAAAAATTGAAATCGACATATTTGATGACCATTATAAGGTCTATCAAATACGTCGTTTTCCCTGTTTTATGATGGATATTCACCTAAATCCCATATATTCATATTTGAAATAAGCAATAGTTGGGAACAAGATGGCGGCGTTTTCAATATAAATATATGGGATTTTAGAACCAATCAAAAATAAGACAGCAATTGTCGCCACTGTGGGTAATAGAGTCACTGTACCTTTCAGTACCTCCCGCTTTTAAATTTTGAAAATCTGGCAACCCTAATCAGATTAACCTTTTCTGAAAAAAATCTTGGATTAATTATCTCTGCCATTCCATCCATAGACGCGTTTCGACCATCGTATTAACCTTTTCGTTTAGATTTAGAAACACTGAAACACAAAACTGGGCCTTAAATGGAACGAGGCCTTGAAACTTAAAGTTTTAGAATGAGCATTGAAAACGACGTTCATGGATAATGTCAAACCAAGTGTTGAACTATTGTAAGGTTGCCACTTCTCAATGTAATGAAACCTCGTCAAATGAAACATTCCTTAGAAAATAATGCAAATTCGAAGGCATATCATAATTTTATCACTACAGAACTTCGAGTTATTACCCCAAAATTTGCTTTAATTACCCCCAAAATTCCCTTAATTGCCTTAAGGCTTAAATTACCAAAAATTACCCCGAATTATCGAATGTAATACCTACCACAAGAGGTTTCAGGATTATTGGATAATACTTTTACCTGTCACGAAACGCGATAGGCAGCAACACCACGACTCCGGAGGTGTGGTGTTGCTGGTAACGCGTTGAGTGTCAGGTAAAAGTATTAGGTGATCCTGACACATCGAGTGGTATTCAGAAGGTTATACAACAAACTAAACTTTAATACTTTAAAATTTTTAAAAAAATCCTATAATAGAATTTGCTATAAATGCCACCAAGCGCGATAATCCCAAAAGGCTTATCACTTGTTAAGCCTCTCGTGTAATATGGGAATAATATACAGTGAGTTGTATAATCGAATGTAATACCACAAGAGGTTCCAGGATTACCGGATAATACTTTTACCTGTTACGAAATGCGTTACGCAGCAACACCACGACTACGAAGAAGGAGTGGTGTTTCTGGTAACGCGTTGAGTGTAAGGTTAAAGTATTAGGTAATCCTGAAACATCGAGTGGTATTCAAAAGGTTATACAACGAACTACACTTTAATACCTACTTTAAAATTTAAAAAAATTCCTATAATAGAATTTGCTATAAATGTCACCAAGCGCGATAATCCCAAACGGCTTATCACTTATTAAGCCTCTCGTGTCATATGGGAATAATGTATAGTGAGTTGTATAACCCGTGAAATTTCCACTAATTACCAATTACCGCGATTGTGTACACTAAATTACCACAATGAAATCTCCCTCGTTTGAAACACATCAATACTGGACTTATATAGACTGAGATCATTACATCATAGAAATCTCGGTTTACTGACCTTGGAATCACTTTCCCTTGGAATGTAAACAGCACTGATTCAGTGTTTACATAGATTCTATCACCATTTTCAGTTATTCTCTTCTTTAGCTAGCCTCCTGTCCTGGCCTCAACACCATTTGCAACGGATTTTGTATAGGTACTCGACTATTTCTTCTTCTGATAAGCCTTCGTCTTCGTATATAAATACCTCTGGCTATTCCTTTGCAAGTGACTAGGCTAGCTGGAATATATGCATTAAGATTTTCCTCTTATAACATTTTATTAGTTAAAAATTCGTTTGCATTAAGATAATCAGAAAAGTCTATTCCAACTATGTTTTTTCCTCTACTCCTCTTACTTTTCTATTTCTTTAAAGTCTACCCATACTCATAGGATGCATATTACCATTATTATTCTCATTTTTGCTTTCAACAATAACCACGTAAGGTTTAGAATCTCTGAATGTGTATGAAAAACTACCTACTTGTCTTTTTTTTTGTTCATATTTCCACTAGGTGGGGACGCTGGAAGGCTCCCTGATTCTACAATTATGTGGTTGTGATACTACTATTAGTTAAGAAAAAGGCAAAGCAGGAAAAAACTATACTAAGGCAAGCAGGGGTTTGAATTTTATTCTAAGGACTTACCCCCAGATGCACTTAATTATTTTCTCTTCCACAATTAAGTATTTTCACATACTGAACACTTTTATTTCGCAAAAATAAATCGAAAATTATAATATATTGAGCTGTCACTGTCTGGCGCCAATCGTCGACCATCACTTAAAAATTATAAATTTGTTTAGGGTGAAGATCTCATTGAAGTAAGCTCACAACTGATCAGGCAAGGAGAAATGATAAGAGTGACTACAGGCATGTGGACTAATAATATAACACTATTTCTTTTTGATCATCAAGTTATTTATTGTAAAAAGGTAAAACCAATAAGAATATGATTATATAATAGATTTTGACAAACTCTTAATTTTTAGGATATACTTAAGAGAAACACTTACGTCTACAAAGGACGAATTTATCTAGACTGTAGCGAAATTATAGACGTGCCTGACGGAAAAGGTATGTAATTCCCAAGCAGTACTCCCAAGTCAGATTCTCTTTGTTGGCCCAATAAAAGATGTGGACATTCTGCAGTATTTGTCCAAGAACGTATGTCAATATATACCCAAAAACAAATACCAACGTTGGTACAATAACGTAACCAAATGTTGGCCCAAAAAGAAATAATCAATATCATATCAAGAACTTTATGCAATATAGAACCAATTGAAATTACCAATATTGGCCCGAAGACGTATGTAAATCTTGGCTTTATATTATATTTAATTAAGATAACGGACCAATTATAAGGACCGACTAAGAAGTGTTTTCTCTCTGCCGGACCATCCGTGGACCCGTTTTGCTGTATCACAACTCATCAGCACGGTTAAGTCCTGCCAGGGTCCCGCAGAGAGAAAACAACCAATTTTTGGCTTCTTCCCGGAACCAGGTTTAAGACAGGTAAAGTGAAGACAGAGTCTCCATCTATTTTTTGGTCGGCACACCAAGTGCGCACATTGAATTCCCTATATTGGACCAACATTTTCAATTCAGAAAATCTAACCTTGGTAAAAATTAGTATGTAAATATTGGCTCTTCATTGGGCTTTTCAAAAAGTATCAATATTGTGAAAAAAATTGTAAATAAATATTGGGTGTACAAAGTTTTTGAAGTGAATTTAAATATCAATAAAAAATTGAATGCCAATATTGAATTAATATTATATTACAATATTGTTTCGATAATATAAAATGTAATATTTGGCCAATATTTCATTAATCAATATTGTAGTGAGTAAGTATTGGGCCAATATTCAAATTACTGAAAAGTTAATTAATCTATGAAAACAATATTTGTACAAGATTATTTTTGAATATTGTTTCCACATACTTAGTTAAAACTAATGTTGCCCCAATATTGGTACTGTGTTGATTTAGCAACAAAAATGAATAAATATTGGCCCAACTGTAAAACGATGTTTACCCCATATTATGTGCTACTTGGGTTTATTTAATAAATACCCTTGTTACAAGAATTTCTTTGTCTTAGATTCAAATCTGAACGTAAATGTCCGACACGCAATCAAACTCCTAGACGGTGCCCGAGACAAGTGGTTCATATTTTGTTGCCGGTCCGCCAAAGAAAAACAAAGGTGGTTAGAAGCTTTCGACGAAGAAAGGCGCCTGGTCAATCAAGATAAGAACGACGGGTTAGATTTGCCACCTGCGGCGCGCCATTTGGCCAGGGTGGCAGCCTATCGACAAAAAAGACCACCTAGGAAACTAAGACGTGAGTTTTTTGATTTGTTATCTACTATGATGTTAATTTTTCATGTTTCAGACACAAGTAGCAACATAAAACAACAAAGTGGTTATTTAGGTTCTTCAATGCTCCAGCTCAATGTAACGCCATCGAATTCCCATTCGCTTCTAGGTAGAAAAATGGCCACTTGGTTCAATTTTGGTGCGGGGAAAAAGTCACGATCTCAAGATGTTTCGTAAAAAATGTTAGATGTTTTTCCAATGAATTCTTAGTAGCTAATTGGTTAGACTATATATATATTTTTTTTTTAAAATTAATTGTTGTGTATAAATTTTTATGTAGAAATGACAATAACGAATTTATTGGAAACTAAAGTGGTTTTAAAGAGAATTTATATAGACGAGGAAAATGTATTGTAATAAAACACGAATTTCCTTTTTCAACTTTTCAGGTGCATATTTAAATTTGAAATTCATATCCTTCTAGAATAATATGCAACTGAATAATAATTTTTAAAATATTATAATATATGCCAAATATTAAATTATAATGTATTTTGTACTACAACTATATACAGTGGAGTTCTTGAATGACATCAAATTTACCAGAATCTCTGATTATGAGTCACTCACATATATAGGTCAAAAAAAATTCAAGAACCTTTTACTGCATAAAATAAAATTAAGTCTAGTATCGTATCTTAAGCCTTTGTAAATTAAATTTTTTCCTCGTTTAAGTTATACAAAGTGTTGTTAAAATATCTTAAAATGCAATATATTGATTAAAAGTGATATTGGCCGAGTGCCAACAGTGCTGTGGTATCAATTTGAATGGAGCAATGGGCCTAAACCTGTAAATATTAACTAAACATATAAACGGCCTTTGTTAAACAAAAACACTATTTTAGTCTTTAAAACGACTGATTATAATGTTTGTCTTGTTATTGTCTATCCTAACGCACAATTCTTCGCATTTTCTCTCTCTGATTCCTTATGTCTGAAACTTTTCTATATGGCACAGGGTATTAGATGTCGATTTTGAATGATCTACAAAATATCACTGTTTTTTGGTGTGTAAAAAAATTTAAAACCTTTATGCCTATATTCATATCCTTGGACCAAGCCCATTTTTATACCTAAACACTTCTTGAATGTTTGTGTATTTTTATTTTTGACTTTTATTGTAATATTAAAACTTTTTAAGAGTTTGTATTTTTTTAGTTGTTTTATTTTTTAATTCTAAATATCGTCGACTGATTCTAAGAAATAATACAGGTGCCAATAATCCATTATATCACTTTTCTATCATTGTTTAGTTATATAAAACGATGTAGGTTGTAAAACTATTTATAAGGGTTAAAATTTAAGATCATATAAAAATGCATAATATGCTTTATAAGTAGAGGAGTAGTTGCAATAAGCGACTAAAGGAATTTTTCTTAACACAATAATGGAATTTAAAGTTTAAAGCCGATTAAATTGTTGAAGAACGGTTTTGAGGTTTACTAACCATGCTCACTTCTTTACTTACCCATTTATGAAAAATAGTTTTTGTGGAAACGTCGGTAGTGTGGGTTACCTTAAACCATTTCAGAATAATAGAAAATGACTATTTTGTGACATTTCTGTATGGGTCTTCTGTGTAAAATTTTTAGTATTCAGTCTTGCAATAATAATAATAATAATTTATTTATGTTAATTACACAGTCTAGAGTGTTAACATACGTCACTAAAAAAATTACAAAATTTCAAAATTCAATACCATTTAAAACACACATTAAAAAATATTACATATAATTAGTACTAATTTGGAAAGAAATTCATCTATACAAAATCTACAAAACTGTTCATCCAGAGAATAGAAACATTGCTCAATTAGGTATGGTTTTACCTGTGGTTTTACTACAAGCTTAAACTGTTTTGTAAGCAACATTTTCACTGTGGAAGGCAACCTGTTGAAAAAGTTAGCACCATAGAATGCTATTCCCGAGGGGTGGTTAACTACTTAAAACATGTACCCTGTAAGAGTTTGAGGATTTTGAAAATCTTCATATGATTTTACAGGATTTTAAAAGATTTTAGGTGATTTTGGAGCATTCATTTCAGGGAAGTTAGAAGAGTTTTTAGAGATCCTAAAGGATTTTTAGAAATTTTAAATTTTTGAGGATCCCAATAAGGATTTTTGGAAATGTTAAAGGAATTTTTTTATTAGGAATTTTATCGGATTTTGCCGGATTTTTTTTTTGTTCTAATAAGATTTTGTTAGATTTTTAAAAATTTTAGAGATTTTCAGGGATTTTAAGTAGATCTTACAAGTTTTTCTGGGATTTTGACCAATTGTATAGGTACAAATTTTCATCAATTAACCACTCGAAGTTCAGTTAACTCCATAAAATGTGTACATAATTAAATCTTTATTGATTTTGTAGGATTTTGAGCATTTTGAAAAATTTCACGTGATTTTACAGGATTTTAAAAGATTTTAGATTTATGAGATTTTAGGTTATTTTGGATCATTATAGGGAATTTAAGAAGGGGTTTTATGGCGTTTTTACCAACTAATTTAAGGGAGCCTGATAAGTATTTTTCAAACTGACATTTCTCCATAGAAGACTGTCATTTTAATGAATACTTATTGTTGAAGCTCCCCTAAAATAGTCGGTGGAAACGGGCGAAACGGCCATTAGAGATCCTAAAGAATTTTTAGAAATTTTAACGGATTTTTGAGGATTCGAAAGGATTTTTGGAAATTTTGAATCAATAATTTTTGTTTAGGAATACATATTAATGATTTTATAAAATTTTGCCGGATTTTTTTTTGTTCTAATAAAATTTTGTGTGATTTTGTGAAATTTTCTGCGATTTCAAGTGATTTTTAAGGGATTTTGTGAGGTTTTGTTAAATTTTGTTCAGAAGATTTTAGATTTTCAAAATTTTAGGTGATTCTGGAGCATTAGGGGTTTTTGAAAAGTTTTTAGAGATTCTAAATTCAAATGACAAATTTGAATAGAAAAACAGAAAGTCCTAGAAATTATACCATAAGATTTCATAATACTTTTCCAAATTTCACCATAAGATTCCATGGAATTCCCCCATAAAATTCAAAGGAATTCTTGTACAAAAATTCCTCGGAATTACACTAAAAGAAAAAATTTTATGTAATTTGACAGAAATTACTCAGAATTTCACTAAAATTTAATTCTTCGGAATTCCATCGAAATTTCTCGTGGTCCCATGGAAATTCTGTTTAATTCCAAGTGGATTTTTCGGATTCCAAGTAATCTCACTGGAATTCCACAATAAGATTTCAAGGAATTCCATGTATGTAATTCGACGAGAATTCCTTGGAATTTTACTCGACATTTCATCGAAATTTTATGTAAGTCGATACAAAGTGAAATTATATACAGGATGTCCACTTAGTGCGATATCGAACGATATCTCCTTCCCACATAACAAAATTGCATCCTTAGAATGTATTAAGAATGTTCTTTTTTTATGAGGAATGTGCCTAGAATGTTCGCCAAAACCATTGCGAATGTCCTGAGAATGTTCTGAGAAAAGATTGTAGAAATACTGTTTGCAATACCCAAGCACTTCCTGGGAAATCCATTAGGATATTCCTAGAATATACCTATGAGATTCTCAGTACATCCTGAAAAGAATATTCCTGTTTGATTCTAAAAATATGCTCGAAATGTATATTCTCACATTTAAAGAATGTTTCTATGACATTATAGTTATGTTCTCAAAAGAATATTATACCAATATGCTTGAAATATTCTTAGAATATATCTACATATATCACTCTCAATATGCATCCTATAGACATAACATTCTTGGTTGATTCTAAGGATATACTTGGAATGTTAATTTTCGCCTTCAAATAATGCTCCTTTCAGCACTTTTATATTAAAGGCAGTGAAAGAGTTGTTGGAAAACTTCTCTGGAAAACACAAGTATTTAACCAAAGCTCCGGTTTCGAGCCTGTTATGCTCTCGTCGAAGCACGCCAACTGAGAGAAACAGGTTCCAAGGTGATTCAAACGCGAGGCAAGATGTAGATTTTTAATAGCGCGTGGCTCTCCCTCTCTTGGAAGTCCTACAAAGCAAAAGAAAAAGAATATACCTATAATATTCTTAGTAGGTTCTAGATAGAGCATTATTGTTTATTTGTTAAATTAAGATTTTTGAGTCGGTACTTTAGATAATTAGGTGAACAATATGAAAATATTCTTATCATGGTAACCTACCTACATAAACTTCTCAGCACAACTTGGTAGGTATATTCTTATTACTTGATAGAGATATTAGCCGAAAGAACATTTTTTAGGGTACATTATAATAATGTTCGTATGACAATATTCAAAGATTGTTATATAAAGTAGGTTCTTAGCACAATCTTTCAGGTAAGTGTATAGAAGCAACATTCCTAGTACATAAATAGAACGTCCAAAAATAAATATGTCAATCGAAACAATCTTAGAATATTCATTAGACATTCCTAAAAGAACATTCCAAAAAGCACTTTGAGGGAATATTCTGAGAATATGAATGTTCTTCCACTGTTATGTGGGAGGGTGATGCAAGAATTGACAGTTGAAAATTGACTTTTTACAGGCTGTAAAACCTAAAGTTTTTTTTTTTTTTAAAGATAATTCCCCAAGTCAAAAATTTAGTAACTATGTTGGCAACGCAAGCTTTTTCTACATAAAAAAAATTGAAAGCATTGACAATTTTACATTGTATTGCCAACATAATGTCAGTTTGACTTTTATCTTTAAAAAAAAAACAGATTTTAAATGGTTAATTTTAGAGGAAAACCGATTTTACATTGCTATCTCAGCTTTTCATAAACTATCATTTTGACACCAGCTTTGAATTTAATCTCCAGTTAAATTTAACTGGAATTTTTAATCTTGGGTGTTCCGTTTGAAAAAAAACAAAGTTCTGTCGCATATCGTATAAACAGAGCACACCCTACACCTTGTATATTCAAAAATAATTTTAACTAATGCATATTAGAGTATCAAACAACTTTATAATTTAATCTTTTTTTCTTGCATCACCCTATAGGAGATATCGTCGAATATCACACTAAGTGGACAACCTGTATAATTTGATGGAAATTCTGTGAATATTTCATAGGTAATTTTTTTTTTTTCGAAATTCCACTGAAATTCTCCAAAATTCTATAGAAATTCCAAATTCCATAATTTTTTTGAAACTTTACGGAAATTCCCCTAAACTTCACCACTGAAATATCCTGGAATTCCACAAAATTTTCATAAATTTCTTCGGAATTTCATTGATGACATTTCATGTAATTTCTTAAAAATTCCTAGGAATTCACTAAAATTTTATGAGAATATTTTGAAATTCCACGTTCATAGTCGAAGATTTCACGAAAGTCCAATGAAACTTCATGGAATTTTTCAAAATTTCATTTATTTTCATAAGAATTTTTCAGAATTTCGCTGAAATTCTCTTGTAATAGCCAGGAATTTCTGAGAATATTGATGAAACTTCAAGTAATTTCTTGAAAATTCACCGAAATATATTGAAATTTCATGTCATTACATGGGAATTTTCCGGAATATCACCGAAATTCCTTGTTTTTAGCCGGAAATTCCACGGCATTCCACTTGTGGAATTTTACTAAAATTCAGTAAGAACTGAAATTTCATGTTGAGAATTTCGGTGTATTTTCATATATTTATTTAGAATTCCTCCATGCATTCAGGATTTCGTGTAATTCGATCGGAATTTCACTGAAATTTCATGTAATTTGAGAGGAACTAAAATTTAATGTGAATTCTATGAAAACCCTGAAAAAAATTTACATGTGTAATTCCGAGTGTAATTCCTATTTCAGAATAACATAATTCTACCGAAATTTCTCGAAATTCCACTAAGTTTCTGAGAGACTAACCTTTAACAGATTTTTGGGGATTCCAAAGGATTTTTGGGAATTTCAAAGGAAACATTTTTTAGGAATGTTTAATGATTTATTTATGAGATTTTAAAGGATTTTTTTGATTTTAATGAAATTTTGTTAGATTTTGTAGGATTTTATGCAATTTCAAGAGATTTGGGAGATTTTGTTAAATTTTTAAGGATTTCAAAGATTTTTAGGGATTTTGAGAAGATCTTATGAGATTTTCTGGGATTTTGACCAACTTGTACACGGATTTTGACTAGTTAACCACCCCTCGGCTATTCCACTCGTAATCTTATTTATTCGATGGAAGTCTGTGTGAACATGATCTTTAATGCCTCGTGTTATAACCGTGTATATCTTCGTGCAATTGATATTCAGACACATGTTCCTTCAAGTATATCAGGCAATGAAATATATATATACAAGACATACTAAAAATTTTCAATTTCACTAATCCACCCCTATAATCACCTCTGTATCTCTATACCTTCATAAAGATTGTTTATATGTGAGCATTCCAAGTTAGCTTGCTATCAATATACATACCCAAAAATATAACAGGTTCATACATCATTCCCTCTCATAGATCCCTCATTGAGAAATATATTAGTTCAGTCTTTGTTGCGTTCAGGTTAAATTGATTGCATGAAAATCATTCAGAAACAGTAACGCCTGAGCCTCCCTCATACTATATTCTGTTTCTTCCTTTGAAGCTGTCTTCTTAAGCATTGATGTGGTCTCATCAGCAAAAAGGACAAAATCAGTAGTCGGGTCATAACTGCCCAGGTCATTAACATAAATCAAGAAGAGCAGGGGCCCAAGAACAAATCCCTATGCCACAGAACATTTTGCATTTCAGACCAACCCCCATTAAATTGTACAAGCTGCCTTCTGTTTATTAAATAAGAGCTTAGTAGATCAACTGCATTCTGATCGAATTTATATAATTTTACCTTACACGGTAGGAGCTCTTGGGAGACACAATCGAACGCTTTTGTTGGATAGACCTTGAAGATCTGCAATTTCTTTGTAGGCTTCAGAATCTTTGAACTTTTCAGTAGCTTCAGTCTTACACATTGGAAAAATCTTTAAAATATATTCATTCTAGAATCTTTAAGTCTTCAGAAATTCTTTAGTTTTATCATTAGCATCGTTTGATGTTGCTTTATTCATTTTTCCAAGTTATTATTTCTGTCTACGATATTTTTCGACAATTCAATTACAACTTTTCAATTTAATAGTTTTATTCTCTGCCTCTCTCTATAGTCTCAAGACCTTTCGAAATTTTCAAATTCTTTAGAGTTTTGAAAGTCTCCGTTTAATTTAATTTGAGCGCTGTGAAATTGAAACTTTTGCAAAACTGACTTCAATTTTAGCTTATTAAATCAATACATTTAGGAATGCCTGATGCCATAGTGTAATAAAGGTTGACTAGTTAATTTTTGATCATGGAAACTAAACTGGAATAAAAAATGTTTTAGTTCAAAATTTAACAATGAAAATCAATGTCGAGATTAAGATTTTTTGAAGCCTTTTTAGATTTTTCGATGTATTTGGAATACACAGAGGTTTCAGTATGAAATGTTGAATTAAGTAGAGTAGCCTCTAGCACAAAGTTAGAAAAAACCCGGATTTTTATAAATGTCTATTAAGTTTTTGAGTTTTTGCGGGCTATTGTGATAGTTTTTGTAGGATTTTCCAAAAAATACACTGAGACAGTTTCTGCCTCACAGCTCCGTTAATTTCGATCCGATTTCAATATTATGGAGCTCTAATTAAAGCCAATTAAATTCTCTACAAACTCTTCAATTAATATTTCAATTTGTTTTGCACCTAAGAAACTTCAAAATTGAATTTATCGAACATTGAAAATTTTACAAGAATTACATTGAGACAGTTTTTGCCTCACAGCTCTGGTAATGTTCGTCCGAATTCAATGTAATTTAGCTCTAATTAAAGCCAATTAAATTCTCAACAACCCTATTAATTAAGATTTTAATATGGTTCCAATGGTCTTGCACCTGAGAAGCTTCAAAATTGAAATTATCCAACATTGAAAATATTCAAAAAATGACACTGTGACAGTTTTTGCCTCATAGCTCGTTTGATTTTTATCTGATTTTAACACAATTAGGCTCCCATTAAAGCCAATTAAATTCTCTACAAATTCATTAATTAAGATCTCAATTTGGTTGTAACAGTTTTGCACCTGAGAAGCTTCAAAATTTAAATTATCCAACCTCAATCCAACATTGAAAATATTCAGAAAATGACACTGAGAGAGACAGTTATTGCGTCATAGCTCCTTTAATTTTTATCTGATTTCATCGCAATCAGGCTCTAATTGAAGCCAATTAAATTCTCTACAAATCTAATAATTAAGATTTTAATTTGGTTTCAACAATTTCGCACCTGAGAAGCTTCAAAATTGGAATTATCCAACATTGAAAATATTCAAAAAGTGACACTGAGACAGTTCTTACGTCATAGCTCCTTTAATTTTCATCTGATTTCAACGCAATTAGGCTTTAATTAAAACCAATTAAATTCTTTACAAATCTAATAATTAAGATTTTAATTTGGTTCCAACAGTTTTGCACCTGAGAAGTTTCAAAATTGAAATTATCTAACATTAAAAATATTCAAAAAATGAGTCTGTGACAGTTCTTACGTCACAGCTCCGTTAATTTTCATCCGATTGCAATGTAATTAACCTCTAATTAAAGCTAATTAAATTCTCTACAAATCTATTTATTAAAATTTTAATTTCGCTTCAACAGTTTTGCACCTGAGAAGTTTCAAAATTGAAATAATCCAACATTGAAAATATTCCAAAAATAACACTGAGACAGTTATTGCCTCACAGCTGCTTTAATTTCCATCCGATTTCAATGTAATAAGGCTCCAATTAAAGCCAATCAAATTCTCTACAACGTTTACTCTGAGAAACTTGAAGAAAACTCAAGCCCCTAGAATAAACAGAAATTGAGAAAAAAAACTTGAGCAATAAAAAGAGGAAACTTGAGAAAACATGAGTGGACAAGAGACAAGTGGGTAGGCATATTTTTTCTATTCCAGCCACTTGAATTTTTTACACTCTGAGAAATTTGGAGAAACCTCAAGCCCTTGGAATAAATAGAAATTAGGAAAGCAAACTTAAGCAGTAAAAAGATGAAACTGAAGAAAATATGAGTGGACAAGAAACAAGCGGATAGACAGGCTCTTGAATTTTCTTCACTCTGAGAAACTTGAAGAAACCTCAAGAGCATGGAATAAACAAAAATTGAGACAGAAAACTTGTGTGATGGAAAAAGGGAAGTTTAGAAAAAATAAGTAGATATTTTTTTTCTATTCCAGGCTCTTGAATTTTCTTCACTTTGAGAAATTTGAAGAAACCTCAAGAGCCTGGAATAAACAAAAATTGAGACAGAAAACTTGAGGTGAGAAAAGAATAAATGGTCGGATCGGGACGAGCTGATTTAGGAAAGAGAGGCAGAAAATTGTTACTGTTTGTAAAGTGTTTTTAGTGAACCCGGATCCGTGACAATATGATTTTGAATATAATCTTTGCCCCAAAAAATTTAAAGAAAAATGAAAAAAGTGACTCATTCAGATTAATTTGAGTGTGATATTTGTTACAAAAAAAAAAACTACAGCTAGATCCTAAATGATTGTGCATTACATTACAAGTGCGTAAGGAGTATTATTATAACATCAGCGCGGAATATTGCCAAAATTTGATTTTGAATGTAATATTTGTCAAACAAAAATTACAAACTTGTTCTCAAGTTTTCATAATGGATTTTTAGAATGTTGGTAGAAAATTTTGAAGCATTATTGAACAGACTCTCAAGAATTCAAAACTGTTCCAATCGCTCCTATAAGTTCAGTAGTAGAGTGGCCTGAAATTGCGTCTAAATTAAGAATTAGAGTTATTTTAAAACTGAATTCAAAGTGTCTACACCATTCCCAATTGTAATTTGAACATTATAATTTGTAATTTGGAATGGGAATTTTCTTTTTGGAGAATTCCGGTAATTTTCATCCGTTTCCAATGTAATTAAGCTCTAATTAAAGCCAATTAAATTCTCTACAAACTTGTTAATTAAGAGTTTCACTATGGTAGGAATGAGTTCTGTATGAGTGGATCTTTGACACAAAAAGCCTAAAGCTCACTGGGTTTTTGTGTGTGCCAATGCCAACCCTGCTCTAGCAAGATACTTGAAAAATCTTCTTCGAATATAAAGCCTTGAAAGCCTTCAGAATTTTCAGAGGCTTGGGTTTTGAATCAAAGTGATCTTTAAAGTCTTCATTGTAAAATTCCAATACTAAAGACTTTTCAGAAAGTCTTCAGCTCTGAAGTATTTGAGATTTTTGGAGTCTATACAGGGTGTTACAAATTTGAGATGGATATTGATAACTGTAAAAAATACTTAATACTTAATATAGATCAAGGCAGAACAGGGCAGTTTAATGCTGTTTTAAAATTTCAGCTACTTTTAAAAATAGATACCTACTTCAAAAAAGAAACTTCTTTTGTAGCCTCTACAATTACCAAAATCCCTATGTATGAAGGTATCCAAAACAAAACTGTTTTCCCTTGACTAAAAGTCAACAACTAAATCTATCAGGAAAGTAACTGGCACTTAAAGTTGTGAGCAAAAGAGTTAAAGAAAACCAATATAAAAAAAAAACATACACACAAGATGCTTCTCAAGCACTCCTTTGTTATATTTTTGACATAATCACAAACATTATATAAAATTAATAAGTAGAGAACTCCCTAAAACTAAGTATGTAGCTGTAAGTACCTATATTGTTATAGGGTTGTTATATTGAAGCCAGATCACTCACGTATGAACCAAAAAATACATGAGGAATTTGGTTTGAACCCACTGTGCAAAAAAAAAAAAACATTAAAATAGTTTATTTTGCTAATAGTTACCATGTTGAAACTGTATTAGTTGGTTGAAAAAAAAAAGACAATTTTAGTTTATATACACTATCTAAAAGCAAGAGCACAAATTATTGTAAAATAGTGCTATTTGTTGTTGGAAATGTTATCGTAATTTTTCATCAATGTAATCATGTGTTCATTTATCAACATTATTATAATAAATAAACATGTTTTTTACTTAATTTATGTTTTATTTGAGGCAAGTTATATCAGAATCAGAAAAAGCTTTATTATCAAAGATAGAAATCTTATTGACAAAGCAGTCTTATATCTACATAATCAAATAAAATAAAATTAAAAGTAAAGTATTACTAATTTACACTAAATATGTGAGTCGCATTCATAAGGTATGTAAAATTAAAAATTAAATATAAATACACAAAAATACAACTATAAACAAAATAAGATAAAATAAAATAAAATAAAATAAAATAAAATAAAATAAAACATCAACATCATTACATATAAACTAACAATCGACATTCAACTAGCTGCGTAAAACTATTCTAAAGTGTAGAAACAATTCTCCAAAAGATAGTCTTTCGCATTTTTTCGGAAGGCATTAAAATTATCAAGTTCTCTCAATTGTAAAGGTAGATTATTGAATATTTTACGGCTTTCATATATTAAGGATTTTTTTATCATTGTTGAAGAGGGTATCGGAAGATGGACAACCTGTGTCTGTCTAGTTCTATAGTTATGCTGGAAATTGTAGTTATCCCTATATCTATTTTTGAATATCAAACAAACTGATTACAATATATTATAAAACCCTATTTTATTATTATAATAATAATTTTCCTTTCCAATGTTAAATATAAGCATACTCCACTGTAAAAGCTCACGATATTATAAAGATGCTGAGTAAGCGGTACTACCTGAAAAAGTACCGTCATATCAAGGTTTCGCCCTCAGTTTTGCCAACATGAATGCTAGCGTCAGCAGTATTTTATTATAAATACAGCGCGTAGGGCCTTCTCTCATCATTCTCTTGTATTGTACTTAGACTATAGCAATCAGAATCAAAGATTTTTATGTTCTCGGCTTTCGCTTCAGCAATTTAGAATCTAGTTTTTTTTTTTGTAACTTCTTATTTTTCAATAAAATAAATAGTCTTTAAAAACAAGATTTACTAAACGAAAAATATAATTGACATTTGAAATAAGACAATTTGTTTTTCTATAAAAAACACATTCGTGTTGGTTTTATTAATATGTATGTAGGTACTTTTAAAATACACATTTTTACAAACAATTGTTACATATATATTATTGAAAACTATAATTTTTTTTTAGCTAGTAAAAATTATAGGTACTTTATATTATAAAATAAACTGTGATGCAATGAGCACTTTTAGAAAATAAACATTATTGAATTTACAAGTAATATTTTAGGAAAATAAAAATATAAATCACATACATTTTAGCACTGTAAACAAAATAAACATTTAGAAAAAACACTAAGTTCAGTTCCAACAGGAAACTTTGTGAGCTGCTCCGAGTAATCTGAGTACTTCTAACAAAAAAGTGGAACACACTAATTTATTAATAATCCGAAATTAATTTGTTGTTGGAACGAACCACAAATATTGCAACCTAAATAACTAAACATTAAAAAAATTAATTTGTAGAAAATGCATAATTTTCTATATATAATTAATTATATACAATAACTATATCTGGTTAAGTCAATTGTTATTACACATAAACTAATACTATTCAGTTTTATGTACAGAAAATTTATACACACAAGAGATTTCCTTAGAAAAAAATAATAATTTTCTGTATTTGTACAGTTAACAAGAAAAAAAAAAGTTATTTTATCGTCCACAAAATAATAATTGTTATTATCATCACTTTGACGTTGATCAAAAACCAGGAACCTGAAAAAAGAAATCATTATTTTTTTTTCCAATTGAATATTAGTCTACTGACATTTCCACTATGACTCCAAATCGTCCTCCCTCTGACTGGAAAAGTAGGAAGCCAAACCTGCAAATTCCCCACCAGATTCTTCTTCGTAATTTTTACCATTATTTCCATCGGCTGGGGTGGCTGAGGGTGATTGATCATCGTTGACGTAAGGTTCCTGATAGGAAGGACCTGGTTCTGGAGGCAATCTAAAAGAAAAAATATTGTTTTAGAAAGACTTGTGATTCATTAATCAATCTCTTACCCTTCATAAGTAGCCGGTGGTGGTAAATCTTCATCCACAGGCGGAGGTTGTGGATAAGTCGAGTAGTAACCTTCCGGAACTGGCGGAGTCGGACTTGGTGCTCCCGCTGGAGTTTCCACTGTTGCAGGATATGGCTGAGGTTGTGAATTGGGTCCAGGTGGATACGGTTGTAACGGAGCGGGTTGCCCATTATTACTCAGCACTGGAGGTGGATATGGTTGGTGCGGAGGAGGTGGTGGTCCGTTGGTGGACACTGGAGGTGGTGGAACGTATGGAGGACCGTTGTTGGTAGGGGGCGGTCTGTACAGATGTAATGGCGGTCGGGGGCCTGGAGGTGGTTGACTAACAGGAGCAGGATATCTGTCAAAATAATTTTCATGTTTCAAGTCCAGGGTCGTAACTAGGGGGTGGCGAATTAGGCGCGAGCCTAGGACGCCTGAGTTGGGACTCTGTTATGAATAGAGATATTGTCTCTATTTCTATTGCGGTCCCCTCTCTATTGATTTCGAAAAGAGAGAAGAAGACAGCAAGTGCCATAGCGATAGGGATAATGATCTCTATCTGTTACAGAGTTCCAGCCCAGGCTTCTAAATAAAACTAATCTACAACCTAAAATGAGTCAAATGAGAGTATGTGGAATGTGGAATTGTTTTCTATTACCGGCTTTAGTGAAAGATTTTCCACATAAAAAACTAGAGAGAATAAACTATTGATCACTCTGTATATTTACACAGTGGTGGAATTGTTCTCGATTATTAGCTTCTGTGAAAGATTTCCTACAAGAGCCGGGGATATTAGGATATTGATCATTCTGTATCTTTATACAGTGGTAGAATTATTTTCGATTATTACCGGGTTCTGTGCAAGATTTCCTACAAGAGCCGGGAATAATAAAATATTGATCACTCTGTATCCTTACACAGTGGCTTATTTTTGTGGAATTTAATTACAGTGGGTAAAATTGTTTTCTATTGCCGGCTCTGGTGAAAAATTATCTACGTTAAAAACTAAAGATAATAAAATATTGATCCCGCTGTATCTTTATACAGTGGCCATGTTTTCGATTACCAGATTTCGTGAAAGATTTCCTACAAGAGTCAGGAATATTAAAATATTGATCATTCTTTATCTTTATACAGTGGTAGTATTATTTTCGATTATTACCGGCTTTGTGTAAGATTTCCTACAAGAGCCGGGACTAATAAAATATTGATCCCTCTGTATCTTTACACAGTGGTGGAATTGTTTTTGATTACCAGCTTTCGTGAAAGATTTCCTAAATACAAGAGTCGGGAATATTAGAATATTGATCCTTCTGTATCTTTATACAGTGGTAGAATTATTTTCGATTACGGCATTTTTGAAAGATTTCCTACAAGAGCTGGGGATATTAGGATATTGATCTTTATACAGTGGTAGAATTATTTTCGATTATTAGCGGCTTCCATGAAAGTTTCCTACAAGAGCCGGGATTAATATATAAAATATTGATCACTCTGTATCTTTACACAATGGTGGAATTGTTTTCGATTACCAGCTTTCGTGAAAAATTTCCTACAAGAGCCAGGAATATTAAAATATTGATCATTCTGCATCTTCATACAGTGGTAGAATTATTTTCGATTATTACCGGCCTTGTGCGAAGTTTCCTACAAGAGCCGGGAATAATAAAATGTTTGATCACTCTGTATCTTTACACAGTGGTAGAATTTTTTTCGATTAAGAGCTTCCGTGAAAGATTTCCTACCAGAGCCGGGAATAATATATAAAATATTAATTACTCTGTATGTTTACACAGTGGCTTATTTTTGTTGAGTTAAATTACAGTGGGTAAAATTGTTTTGTTTTTTCGGCTCTCTCGAAAGATTTTCAGCGTTAAAAACTAGAGATAATAGGCCTGTTTCTGCAGAAATCACAAACCAGTCAGAGCGAATTTCATTGGTTGAAAACAGTCAGAAACAGTCAGCGAACTAGTTTCAATCAATGAAATTCACTGTGACTGTTGTATATGTTTACCAAATTTTTCAAAAAAAATCTAATGTGAAGTTGAATCACCCAACCCCTACGTATTTTGGCCAGAATGAGGTGTCATACATCTTTTTTTCTAATGGCGCCACTACCAAAAAATTTGATGTATGTATATGTTATATAATAAATAACTTATTTGAATGTGAGGTGTTTCCGGATAGTTTGAAGATAGCATTTATTAAACTTTTACATAAGAAAGGAGACCCTGAAAAACTCGATAACTACAGACCGATAAGCTCGCTGCCCAGTTTCTCTAATATTTCTGAAAACACAATGTTTTTAGAAGTCAATGTTAATGAGTTTTTGGATTGGTCAAGGCATATAGACATTTTAATAAAAAAACTAAACTCAGTGAGCTTTGGAATATGAGTTGTTGTCAAATACATGAATCAGAAGACACTAAGAATAATAATATTTTACCAACTTTGAGGCAGTATTGAAATACGGTATTATGTTTTGGGAAGGGAATATTGGGCCTACAGGGTGCTTTTGTCGCTCAGAAACGTGTGGTTAGAATTATTAATAGAATGGTATATTTACAGAGTTGTAGGGGTATATTTAGGGATTTAAGTATAATGACTGTTGACACTGTATATATTTACGAATGTTTAATGTTCTATTTTAAAAATATAGAGGTGTTTTCAGATTACATTAGTCATGGTTATAACACTCGAAATTTAGATGTTAGATATCCTATACAAAGATTAACTTTAACAGAAACATGTCCACACTACATGTGCCTTAGATTGTATAATAAGCTTCCTGATATTTTCAAGAGAATTGAACAACAGAAACTCTTTAAGAAAGAAGTGAGAAGACTTTTAACAGACTTGGAGCTTTATAATTTATTGGAATTTTATAATGGAGCTAGATATTATTATTTTTTTTTTTGTGTGACGACGTTTCACTTTGTATTACCATGTAAGCAATTTAGAAATAAAGGATTTATTATTCATGCAAAAAGTAATTAATTTAACTCTGTAGGCTACTACACTTGTAGACTCTTACCTATTGATTGGTGGTCCACCTCTCGGTTGTCCTTGTTCTGACAAATTAATGGGCCCGCCCCCAGAAGGACTCGGTCCCAACGGAGGCCTGTGATGACTGAACGCATGGGGTGGCGGTCCACGTATACCAGGCGGTGGTCCTCTCGGATACATTCCTGCGGGCGGAGGAGGATGACGATAAGGCATTGGACTATTGCCTCGTGGCGGTGCACCAGGATACTGACCCACGTGAGGAGCTGTGGGAGATGGTGAATTTTTCGGACTGGACTCGTCAGAATCGTCATCGCGCATAGTTGCAAACTGTTTAGGACGTATTCTGCCCACTGGGTACAGTGATATACCTGGTTTTGACTGAAAAGAGACAAATTCAAATAAATAATTAGAAGTGACTCGATTTATTCTAGCAAATGTCTCACCTGTAACATTCTTGTTATCACTGAAGGTGTAGGTTGAGCCTGAGAAAATGGTTGAGGAGGTGCCGCGATTTCAATAGCAGGCTCTGGATTTTTGCCAGAAAGATTCATAACATCCTCAGGTTTCTTTTTGGGAGGTCGTCCTTTGCGTTTTTTGGGCGATTCGCCGCAATTTCCAAAATCGGATCTGATTTCGTCAAATGTCGGCAATGCAATACCGGGCGGCTCAGAAAGATCCTCATTTTCACTGTCGTTTTTGATCAAAGCTGACACATTGCTTACAATAGGCTCGTGCATTGCTGTTGGCTTTTTTAGGGCTGCAGCTAAAAGCTCGCACTTTTGCTGTCTGGGTGCCATTTCATCAATGTTTTTCAATTTCGATAATTGTATTCCGGCTTCACTAAGTCTTGCCTCGATGTTTGATTTCAAGATTTCTTTTACTGAATCAGTTGATTTTGTTTTAGCTATTGCTGAACTTAGTTGAACATTGGCATCTGATTTGACGAATCCTGAAGGTATTTTTTCAGGTTCTACCATTTCTGGTATTAGAGGCTTTCCACCCTGTGGTGGGGTATCTCTTTTTGGGCCCAGAGGTTTCTTGATATAAATTTTTGGAACTATAAGTGGTAATTTTTTACGCCGTTCTTCCTCTTCAGAATCATATTCTTCTTCGTCCGCCTCTTCTTCATCATCTTCCACTTTTTCCTCGCTATCTTTTTCATCTTCAACCTATGAATGAAAAAAATTGATAACCACTGCAAACAATTAACTACAAATTAACTAACTTCATCTTCTTCATTAGCCACAAAATCTTCATCATGATCATCGTCACTTATTATTCTTCTAGGATTTTTCTTTGTTACAGATTCTTCTACTTCGCTTTCGTCCGTCCCCAAAGTGTCTACATATGTTGCTTTCTTGCCTCTAGTGCGCCGCCCTGTAGCAAAGTTTTCTTCTTCACTCGATGTTAATCCTCCATACTTAATTCTGAAAATTAAAACAAGCATAAAACATTAAACAAAAACATTCATATTCTGGTACCTTACCTACGATTTTTTTTTGTATTATCCTTTGTAACTTTCTTATTTTTTTTCTTTTTAAATTTTCGTTTCCCATAACCAGAAGCATCCGATTCGTCGCTCTCTGTTTCATCCCAAATTGATGTTTTCTTCTTTTTCTTTGGCGCATCATAATCTGTATCGTCATTAATGAAATCCTCATCATACCTAATAAGATTTTGAAAAATAAATAAATTAATGATTATTGAAACTTACTTTCTAGTTCTGGCTCTTGTAGAACGTCTAACTGGTGCATGTTTCCGCCGTTTTTTACCAACATAATCATCACTGTCTTCACTATCAACTGAAGCATCATCGTCTTCCTCTTCTTCCGATTCACTGCTGCCTTTAAAATCTTCATCAGAAATGTCCTCTTCTTCACTATCAAAATCTAAACAATTTAATTTCCTGTGCTTTTTCCTCAACATTTTCTTCAAGTTAGCTGTTGTAGGTCTTTCTTCAACCTTTTTGTTTTCTTCTTTGGCCTTTTTCTCTTCTTCTTTTTCTTCTTCTAAACCTTTAACAATGGTTTGTATGTCCTTGCCGCGACCTAAATTACCAGCACTATCTTCAGTTTTAGTAATATCCTCTCCAATGGCGTCTTTAATTAAGTCATCATATTCGTTGAATTTATAGCTTTTAGTTTGTCTTCTTTGTCTCAATTGATAAATAGGCTCGTCACTATCCTCACTTTCAGATTCAGAAACGTCAGAACTTTCAGAGACCTCGTCAGAAGAAAGCCGCCTCTTCTTTTTCTTTCTGTGGTCAGAGGCGGGTTCTTTGGTGGGCAAAACGTTATTCAAACTAATACCCACATAAGCTAACCGCTCTTTTCGTCTATCTTCGATTTCCTTTTTGCTGAGCTTTTTATCGTATTCAACTAATTTGGCTTGTAAACGTTCCAAAAGAATGATGTGCTGGCACGGAGGACAAAACCAATCCCCTTCTGGAATCACTAACAAGGGCGGTCTCAAGCAAGAACAATGCCAGCCGCTGTCACATTTATCACAAAGCAAAATCCATTCCGGGTGGTCACTTTTTATGCATTTCTGACAAGGAAAATCATCTACTGGCTCAGCATCAGACTCTAAAGCAGTTTTATGTATTTTTGATTTGTTGTGTAATAAATTCAACTAACCTTTTCTAGCAGTTCTAGCCCTCTTTACAGGGGTCCATTCTTCACCATCATCATCTTCACTTTCAGGAGAAAATTCATGGTCTGATTGGAGAGGACCTGAAGGAGCATCATCTTCTTCATCGATCATTTCTTCTTCTTCCTCCTGCAAAATAAAAAAAATTAATAGGAAATTGTTACTTTTAATGCTTTGAGCTTACTTCAGCTGCATCCTCGCTATCTTCACTGCTAGACTGCCAAGGACGCTTCTCATTGAACATGACTGGTTTTTCTTTTTTCTTCTTCTTTTTCTTTTCAGACTTTTTGGCTTCTGTTCCAGAATATTCTTCTTCATCTTCCTCCTCTGATTCCGGTTCGTTTTTCCTTTTTTCATCATCCAGTCTTTGCCTTTCTCTGGCTAAAAAAAAAAAAAAACAATTCTAGAGTGAATGAGATTTAAAATAGCTAAAATTTGTACCTTCTTGAGCAATTTGTGAACGTGGTTTGGCTTGCTCTTTGATTTTCAACTGTGCTATCCTACGGGACTGTCTCAAAGGCCTATCATTTGAGTCATCTTCATCAATTTTTAGGCCCACCAACATACGGCTGTATTTCTTTTCGGGATTCGGTTTTGGTGAAATTTTCTTTGCATTCGACTCCTTGGATTTAGAATCTTGATTTTCCTCTTCGTTGTCCTCCTTTTTGGGCGACTTTTTCTTGACAAAGCGACCCGCTTTTTTTGTTTTCGCTTGCTGCTCTTCCTCGCTGTCTTTACTATCGCTGCTACTGCCATGAAGCTGTTCAATTCTTTGCTCAACGCTTCGTCTTAGAGCTGCATCAACTGAACGACGTCCTTTTAATTTTAGGCGTTTGCCTTCTTCAGGTTCTTGGGGTTTTGTAGGAACCACATTTATACCTGAGGAAGGTAGGCTGATAAAGTACAATAAAAATTATTGATGCAACTGACTCACCTCGTTTTCTAAGTGCTCTTAAGGGAGATGGTTTTTCAATGGGTGTAGTAGGTGTTGGAGATTCGTTGAAATCCAACGAAAATGAAGTCAGTGTTGGTTTAACTTCTGAAGTTTTAGCTTCAGCATCTAAAGAAAAATTTGTCAGATATAATAATAGGCTTTAAAACATTAATCATGCAAATAGGGATTCAGAAACAAAATAAGACATGCTGGAAGGCCACCCTTAATATTTCATTTTACCCTTATTTTCCGAAATGGTTTCAGCAGCAACTTTACCAGGTTTTTGAATACTGTTGTCGTTTGCTGATTGGGGTGAATTTGGGATTGATGATTCGGCACTATTTCCTGCCTGATTTTCTGTAATCAGCCAAAGAAAAATAGGTTTCAACCTCGCGAAATGAAATGTAGTTAACAGCAAATCAATTTTGTGCTCTATAATGTTTCAGGAACTTACATTATGCAGGTGAATGAATTTTCAGAATCAGACCAAAGCAGTTTCAGCTCTAAAAACCTATGCTAGTAAATTTCTAAAACAGATAGCTCACAAAATTGATTTTCATGACTGAACTATTTTCTTTGAGAAATTTTATGTAAAACTCGTTGACTAGAAATAAAATTGTTATGCCATACACACCTTCACCCGCCTTATCTTCAGATTCTGCCTTGGCCACATGTTTCCTTTGAGCACCTTTTGCAGCTTTTTTTATAGGCCGGACTAGCTGGTCCTCTTCTTTGGCTATTTGCTCTTCAATATCATTTTCGTTGGTGTTGGCATCTTTCACAGTTTCATTATTTTTTGTATCTTCGTCACTTTCAATGATAGCTTCTTTTCCATTTTCTGCTTTTGAGGCATTATTTTCAATAGGCAAATCTTTATTTTCCTCTCCGCAAATATAAGCAGTTCTTTTAATGCAAACTGGTTCTGGAGCTTCAGTTTTATCAGATAAATTATTTACATCTAATTCAGTCTTTCCCTCTTCAAGCTCTATTGTTCCCTTTGGTTGTGGCTCTCCTAAATTTTCCTCGCTATTGGACGAATTATTAGAGTTACTTATATTATTTTCACTAGCCTTTGGTAATAATTTATTGTCAGATATTGTCAGAGAAATTTCACTTTCACATTCATCATTTCCATTCTCTTTTTCTACTGTTTCCACACTTTCTTCAGTAGAATTTGAAATTTCCGTATTATCTTTAAGCGATTGTTCTTTCAAAATTCCTGAATTATCTTTTGTGGTTTCAACATTAGTAGATTCAGTATCGGAATTGTTTCCAGTTTGACAATCTACTCCAGAACCATTGCCATGAACAAAAAATATTTCTTCTTCTATTGCCTCCCCTATTATGGGACACTGATTGTCTGAACCAGAACCCTCGCCCTCTACTGTCATTACTGGTTCTTCAATGGCTTCACCTAAAAATAGTGTCCCTATAGAAATTGAATCAAACTTTCGAAACAAAACAAAAATCTTACCTACTACTGGTTCTTTAGTGTTTTCCAAAGCCAAATTTGGGATTTTGGGTTTTGGAGCTGATGTCTCGGAGTCTTCGGTATCATTTTCTCTAGGTCTTTTTAGATTAGTTTTTAATTCTTCACTGGATTCTTCTTCATTTTCAGTATTTTCTTCCTCATCAGATTCAGGCACACCTTTCTCTTCATTTACGGGGGATTTCAAACTTTCTTGTTTTGTTTCAGTAAGTTCTGTTTTTCCATCTTCTTGTGCTTTTTGAGTAGAATCTGCTTCTTTTTCTTCTACATCCTCATCTTCTTCTATAACTAATCTGTCATCATTATCCTCACTATCTGGTTCTTCTTCTTCATTCTCACATTCTTTATCCTTAGTTTCTTGCACCTTATTTTCATTTTCACATTCTTTTGCCTCAGTTTCTTGTAACATATTTTCACTTTCACATTCTTTTTCCTCATTTTCTTGTACCTTATTGTCACTATAATATTCTTTCTCTTCAGTTTCTTGTGATATATCTTCACTTTTGCATTCTTTCTCCTCAGTTTCTTTTACTTTATCAAGGCTCTCTTTTTCTTGTTCCACATTAGTTTCCATCAAATTCGAATCTTCATCGTCAGATGTCCTTTTCGAATCAGTATCTTGTTGACCAGTGTCAATAATAGGCTTTTCCGACAAACTATTGCTGTCTTCATTTCCAGCAGAGTCAGAGCTAACTTTGATATCGCCATCCTTCAAGTGGGATATCAATGATACCAATCCAGTTTTGTCTCTATAAAAAAATAATTAGTATTACTACTAATTAATGGAGGCGAAAACTGTCACAGTGTCATTTTTGAAAAATTTCCAATGTTCGATAATTTCAATTTTGAAGCTTCTCAGCTGCAAAACTGTTGAAAGTTGAAACTAAATTGAAATCTTAATTAAAAGGAAAATTCACGGAGCTGAGAGTCAAAAACTGTTCCAATATTATTTTTGTCAAATTTCCAATGTTCGATAATTTCAATTTTGGAGCTTCTCAGCTGCAAAACTGTTGAAAGTTGAAACTAAATTGAAATATTAATTAAAAGGAAAATTCACGGAGCTGAGAGTCAAAAACTGTTTCAATATTATTTTTGTCAAATTTTCAATGTTCGATAATTTCAATTTTAAAGCTTCTCAGCTGCAAAACTGTTGAAACTAAACTGAGATTTAGATTAACAAGTTTGTAGAGAATTTAATTGGCTTTAATTAGAGCCTAATTGCGTTGAAATCGGATGAAAATTATTGGAGCTGTGAGGCAAAAACTGTCACAGTGTCATTTTTGGAAAATTTTTATTGTTCGATAATTTCAATTTTGAAAAGTCTCCGCTGCAAAACTGGTAAAGCCACATCAAAATCTTGACTAATAGGTTTGTAGAGAATTTAATTGGCTTTAATTAGAGCTTAATTACATTGAAATCGGATGAAAATTGAAGCAGCTGTGAGGCATAAACTATCTCAGTGTCATTTTTGGAAAATTTTCAATGTTGGATAAATTCAATTTTGAACTAGGTATCTCAGGTGCAAAACTCTTGAAACCGAGGGGTAAGCCACTAGTGGGAATCATTGTAAATTTTTTTTGGAATCATATAGTAATGAATCAGGAATACATGGAAATCGCTTGGGAGTCTCTGGGAATCGCTAGGAATCTCCTAGTACTCCATGGGAATCACATAGGAATCCATTGGCAATCGCTGGGAATCATGTGGTAATCGCTGAGAATGACATCTTATGCTAACCTAAAAATCACACATCGTACATTTTAAATCATACAGCATACTGGTTGATTGTGTATTCGCCTTTAATAGGACTAAGTTTTAGGCAACATTGAGTGCTAGACAATTTGAAATGTATTTGATTTCCCAACTAGTTTCCCAATAACTGAACCCGAGACTACGAAGAGTTTAGAACTTGAAGAAGAATAACGAGATGAAGATTGAATGACAATGCGTAGATAATAAAAATGAAAACGTGAATCTTGAAACCTCTCCCTAATCCGACTTGACAAAAGAAGGTACAGAATTTCTTCACAAATCAGGGTTAAGCAAATACAATTCGCTAACTTTTGGAAGAGTTGCAAATACAGAAGTTGTCTATTTTTCAGTGGAAACGTGCCTTTATAAAAGAAAAGACTGTTTATTTTGGTCATATCAATATGAACCTTGTCAATTACACATCGTTTTCGTAATAAAATCAGCTGGGAATCAAATAATTGTAGGAAATCAGGTAATCAATTGGGAATTAATATAGGAATCCCCAGAAAAAATGGAAATCATTTGGTAATCATACAAAAATATCTGACAATCATTAGAAATCAGTCAGTGATTGCCAAATATGGAAATCATTGTAAATTTTTACGCATAGTGGTTGACCCCTTGCTTGAAAAAACACACAATTTTGTCTAGTAAACACAAAAACCCTACAAAAACTGTCATAATAGGTCTGTTTCCACAGCAATCGCAAACTAGTCAGAGCGAATTTCATTGGTTGAAAATCAGGAATTTGGTTGTTAGCGATTTGGACTAATCAAAAACGCTCTGACTGGTTTGTGATTTCTGAAACAGACCTATAAACCCCCAAAAAACCTAATAGAAATTTTCAAAAACTCGGATTTTTGCCAACACTGCTCAAAATTAAGGAAAAAAAATGCATACTTAGCAACCAGAGTCCATTTTTCATCGTCCAGATCTGCATCTTCCTTGTATACTCTAATTTGATAGTTATCGTCACTTTGGAACCAGTAAGCGTGTCCAAATTTATCTCTACCCAACGGTTGAGACCTTAAATCTGTGGACGTTATCTTATTGATTTCCAATTTGAATTTTGTGTTTTGATCAAACTGGGCATCAAGAAGCTCCTGAAATTATACAGTTTAAATAAAGTTTAATAAAGTAAATTATTGATTATGTACCTTCAAAACCCTAACTTTAGAACTAAGTTTGGCTTTCTTATAGCCAAACCTCTCCAGTTCCCATGCGTCTATGTTCGAGAATGTGTGGCAAAATTTGATCAGAGATTTTTCCCATTTTTCCGGAATAACCTTTTTCTTTACCTTTCTGAGCAGTTTTATGTGCAATTCGGACAAAAACTTGGGCACTAGAATATTGAAGAAAACAAGTATTTAAAGTAAATCAAGATAAACTGTATAAGGAGTGCAGAATCTAAGGCAAATAGATTCTGAATATGTAGCACCAATTCCTACCTGAAGCCTTCTTAACTTATAAAAATTACACATTTATGCAGAACAACTATATATTTCTAATTGCAACTAATTAGTAGTTTGAGAGGCAGAGTTTCCCCAACTGCAATTTTCCATTAAATATTTCTATGTAAATCATCAACCTAAATTATATCATAAATAACAACAAAAACAAAAAATAAGTAAATCCAATATATATTTCTAATACTGAAACAGGTCATAGGAACAAATTCGCAATAGGAAATAATTGCGTTGAAGACACAATAATTTACCATACTTATAAATAAACAAAATATAACTAATAGGACATAATGTACTGATTGCAACACATCATAAATATATTATAAATAAACAAAACTGAAAATGACTTATAGAATAAACAACAACTAGAAATACAAAAAAATCATATTGGCAAGTTTCCAATAAAGTCAAACTCAATCATGGCATCTAGAGGGCAGGTAATACTTTGTGGGACTGATACCCGACAGAGACAGTTAAAGCCAAGGACTACAGCTAGAGCTAAGGCCATACCAAAAAACGTGATGGTACCTAATTTGAGGCAACAGCAAAATTTACTTGGTTTTTTCGGAATATACTCCTCGACCTTTTTCTCTGATGACCACTTCAATCTTTTTTGTCTTGAATCAGTATGAGCTTGACTAGGATTCTGCAGCAAGTATTTTAGCTGTATCTTGATTTCTTTCAATAAATCGTATGCAGGCATTATGGTTTCAGCATTTCCATTACACTGATGATCTTTTAGACAAGAAGAAACATCTCCAACCAACATCAAAATGTTTTTGTATTGGCTACATAATTCTTTGGTAAAGTGGAAATCAGTGCAGCAATTAACTAAAGACAAGGAATCAGATGCAATATTGAACTTGTCTTCATAGTGATCTTGTAGCTCATTTTGCTTTCCAATGATCAATTGTTTATTTGATTCTAAAAGAATTTCCAGTTGTTGATTTTTAGTTTTTTCTTTTAATTTATCATCTGAATTTATCAATTTTCCTTCTAATTCTGCGACACTTTGCAACTGGCAATATTCGTCATTTGTGTTTATTAATTCAGACATTTGAAGTTTGTTTGAGTTATCCTCTGTTTGGACTTCTAGATATAATTTTTGTAAATTTGCTAATTCCTCAGTCAGGTTTATTAATTTCAACTCCGAGATTGTATACTTTTGCTGGAGATCTCCAAAATGTTCAATTATTGTATTCTTTTCATTAAGTTGATGAAGCAAGATTTGTTTTTCTTCGTTTATAACTTTTATAAGATTGAGTTTTTCCTCAAATATGAAAAGGTCTTTTTTGGTATGATTTAGCTCTTCAATTTGATTTTTATTAGTCTGTTCCAATTGCATATTCTTGTCTTGTAGCTCTCGGATAATATCAATTTTGTGTTTTATTATTGCTTCTAAATTTTCTTTGATTTTTGCTAAGTCTTCATTTGATTTTGTAGTTTCCATTAAAGTTTTTTTAATTGTCATAATTTCAAAATCTTGTACTTCATGTAGATTTTCAGATAATTTTTCATTTTTTAAGCTTAGCTCATCATTTTTGATTGCTAGTTCTTCATAATTTTCATTGGACTCATTTAATTTGAACATTTCATCATGAAGTGTTTGATTTTTGGAATGAGTTTTCTCTGTATCAATTGAGGAGTCCTTATATTGAATATTATTCTTATCCTTCAGCATCAAATCCATGTTATTAGGAAATTTCTGGGCTGTTGTGTTTTTGCAAGCGAGTACATTATTTTCTTCCTTCAACATGTTAATAAATTCTTGTTGGTCAGAAAATGTATGTTTTAGGTCATTATATAACTTGTGAAATTCATTTAACATGTCTTCTTTTTCTTCTAATTCAGTTCCAAGGTAGTCTAGTTGTTTTGAACAGTCATTTTTCTGCTGCATAACATATTCTAATTTTTTTCCAATTGTGGCTTTTTCATTTTCGATTTTGTTCAACTTGCTTTCATGGTACAAACAATCTTTTTGGAATCTTGACACTGTTTTCTTTAGCTCTCGAATGTTTGTTTTGGCTTCAATCAATCCTTCCTTCAACTTTTCCTTGTCTTGCACACTTTTCTGAAGATTTTGGCTGAGATTTTCTCCAATTTGTTGTTCAGCAACTAACTTTTGATTTAGCTTTAGAACTTCTCCATGCAAAATTTCATTAATTTCTTCATTAGTGATTAACTGTTGTTTGGTCTGACCCAATTCATTAAAAATTTTCTGCATTTGATTGTTTAGTTCTTTTATTACTTCTGTATTGTCTACTTCTGGTTGTCTATGGCTATATCTGAAAACATTAGATTTGTTTAGTAAATTGTAAGTTTTAGAAAATGTTTTTTTAATCTAACCTAGATTTAGTTGATGAGTTAGAGGAAGGTAATTCATCATTATCATCTATATTCATCTCTTCTTCCTGGGCAGAATCTAGTTCCATTTTTTTAGTCCACTGGTCCATAACTTCATAAAATCTATCACTATTTACAAAAATATTCTTGCCTTCTGGATCCAAAGTGCGATGCAGCTCATTTAAAGCTGCCCAATTTTCCTCTTGGAAATAAGGCTTAATAATATTTATGAGCTCAGAAACTTGCACCAAATCCATTTTTTCTACATCACAAGAGTCAAATATGGTTCTTATTATATCAGTGAGCTTGAATGTCTCTTGACTATTGCCTAAATCTTCAAACACCTCCATTTTTTACTAACAAAAAAAAAACACTCTAAACCATAAACAAATATTATTATTGACTCTTCACACAGGCCAGTAGGTACTGTCACTATAAATACCACAAAATCAGATTTATTTTGTCCATTAGAGAAAAAGAGTTTTAGAAAAATAGCAAACATAAACACCAGAAATGTTTTTAGTTCAGTTTAAACCCAAAGGAATAAAACAGTAGTTTTAACTTAAATTGTATTGGTTAGAGGTACAATTGGGCAATTACCTTCGTGGGTGTTCTCCAGCATAGACTGTAACTCACAAAAGTCAACGTCCGTTATACCGATTAATTGACCGAATTTCTCGAAAAACGCACAAATAGCGGCGAAATTGGGATCCTCTTCGCAAGTAGCTTCGGAATCGGACGCCATTACACGGATTTGTTTATGACCATAGCACCCCGCTATACACTAATTTTTCTTTAGCATTATTACAGTATTTATTGGATAGGGCGCACACTAATGTTAAGAATGTTATTTAGCACAATGGGAACAGTTTTTTAGATAATTTAAAGAGTTTCTAGGATTTTAGGAACATCAAAAAATTAAAGCTGAAATTTTTGACGTTTTGTAAAATGGAGTGACAACCGTTTGTTTGACGTTTTTGACAGTGCTCGGACTCTCCACGGGGCGTGTACCGTTTTAATAACGATTTCGATTGGAGTTGGAGTGAAGTCAGAGCAATTTTTTTGAAACATAGATGCGAGAAAACGGCTCATGTTTTAAAACCATTTTCTCGCGCCGAAAAGTTATGACGTCACGTGACAAGTAGCTGCTTACGAACTAGCACTTTTCTCATCCTAGTTGAAGTTAGTTTCTGACTTGAGCTAAGTTGTTAAGCATACGTGCAATTTCTGGGATCTTATTATTTCCTCTTTGTTATATTTAAAACTTACTTTGAAAATTTCATATTCCATTTTGTGCAATAAATAATTAATTTCATAAACACACTAAACACCATTTCAAGTTTTCCTATTCCAACTTACAACAAAAAAAAAGCATAACCTCAATTTAGAAAATATTGAAAGTCAGGCCTGCGAGTGACGTCACTAGCAGCAGCTCATAGTGATGACGTCACCCGCAGGCCTCGATGGAATGCTCGCGATTCAGGCTATGCTAGTGAGTTAATTTTTTCGTCGATTTTAAATGTAGAAAAGGTTAATTTCGGTCTGTTATCACAGAAAAAATTAAGTGTTCTCAATCCTCGAGTATCCCAAAATTTGATAGGAAGGGAGTTTCCTCTCATTCCTCTGAGGGAGGGAGTTATGAAACAATTGACACATCACATCACATAACCCAGCATAATCAGATTATAGCCGCTTTCCAGCTGACGCTTTTGAGCACGCCATCGAGCTTTTGCGCGCGCAAATGCTTCAAGCGCATATTCGTGTTCCAGCCGTACTGCGCTTCAAGAGCTGCTAACCTTTGCGTTTCAAACACAGAACACTGTGCTGCACCATGCTTGAAGCACACAGCTGGAAAGCGGATAACGTTTGATTATTCGCGCAAAATTGCACATTTCCATGAAATATGGGTTTCGTTCCAGTTCCGGTCTGCAAAAAGAAACGGTTCCCTTCCGGTTTTCGGCTCATTATCGTTCCGGTCCGAGTCCTTGCGACGGAATACTTAGGGTGCACGGAGTGAGCAAGCCGATCAGAGTAAGAAAAACAGTTAAGGGTGTTCATTTGTACAGCTTTTCTTGCTTCATGCAGATCTCAAGAGTAGATCGGCGTTCACTTGTTCCTTTTGAAAGCCCTTAAATAGCAGCTTCTAGGGCCGGTTTCTCAATAGCGAATCATCTGCGGTAAACGTGTCTACAGTTGCATTGTTTACCTTGGAGTTATCCTTAACCCGGGGGTGACTTGCATTTGAAACACCGGCCTCTAGCAGATCTTTCTGATTTTTAATCATGTGATATTGGGCGCGTTTGGGTTCACGCTCGGTGCACTCAGAGCTTGCACTTTTGTCTCTCTTCCGTTATTTTTGAAGCTTCGACAACGCTCGATTGTGTTTGGTTTGACATATTTTAAGCGCTCAGAGCGAGCTCGATAAACTCCGAGTTTGTGGGGTGGGCAGCTGGAGCGTGCATGCGCAGTTTAATCTGTCTGTATAACCTAACCTAATTTCCATGATGAGATAAATAAACAATCCTGAATTTTAACATATACTTGTTAGGTGGATAGTTTTAGCTATTTTATTTAAATGTTAACAATCAAATAGCTAGTAAATTCTGCATAATTGTTTACTTTTAATTAAATTTTCTCGATAGTCCTCATCACTGGTATAATTGAACATATTTTTCCAAGGGAACTTGGCACAGGGATTTTCCGAGAGAATTTGTAAATGTGCACTTGACAGTATAAAAAGTGGGCATATGTGACACAAAATGTGCGTGGCATCCCCATCGATTGTTGAAATCTAAGGTGGCGTACCAAGGATGATACCCAGTATCCACAGGAATGCTTTTGCTTATCGGCCTCGTTTTTGGTAATCGCCATATTGGTGTACCATTTCCGATGTAGTTGTCAGCGGTATAAACAGTCTACGTCAATAACTACTAATTTTACCGGATAACCTGTAGTGCAAACAGCCTACGGCAAGGCGAGAAATAACATGCTGCCTACGTCACAACTGGTAATTTGGTTTGGGAGGAGAGGGGGGATTTGTTCCACACCAGCCTTAAACTTACTTTTCATGCATTCGTTTGTTCGTCAATCCGTTGATCCGGAAGTATTCCTATTGGTCCAACATTTTGGCGTCAAAATATTGGACTCATCCTCCGGATCAACGGATTGACGGAAAAACGGATGCATGAAAAGTAAGCTTTATGAGGATAGGCCATACTTTAGTAGTAGAGTGTATCATCCTTGGTGGTGTACAGGTTAGTAGAGTGTACTGAGTGTAGAGTATGGGAGTATGGAGATGGAGTATGTATAGAGTACAGTGTAGTTACGCTCAGTACAAATTTACTGAAATGAAATCCCAAATTCCGAATATTTTGTGTTCTATTTATTGACTGAAAAATTGTGGCAGATTTATTCTAGAAATCAAAATGTGCATATCTAGAGATTGGGGTGCATACTGTGCATATAAATTGGAAGTGTGCATCAATATGCACAATTGTGCAGTTTGGAACATCCCTGACTTGGCAGCCTCAGAGTGTTTGGGTCCATTTTATTGTTTATGTAGCACGACATTTCTTGCAGAATACCAAAGAAAATGGGGCTGTTTGAAAATTATCGACTGAAATGCAAAACAAACGAGAAAACTCTGGTGCAAATGCGGAATGCGGGCTCGGACTCCAAAAAATATATGCTAAGAAAAATAAACAATAATCAGCTGATCGCTCAACCCAGCATTTTTGCACAAGTTTATTTGGCTTGACACGGTGTACTCCCTGTGACGTCACTTCACTCCGTAATCGCTTTGCTTGCTCCGTCGAGCGTCAATCCAAACAGGCCCATTGGTGTGATTTGATTGGTAAAATGTCCAACATGGCGATTATTTTACCAATAAAACCCAACCATTTTATCACGTGATTACGCCAGAAATGTCAACTAACGCTCATGAGAATTCGCCCTGACTCATGTTCCCTCTATGTGTTGTTTTTTTCCAAATAATAGAGGCGATTTCGTCCCAAATTTTCATCTGCTGTTTGGTAGGCAAATGGTTAACCAATTTGGAACGTATGAGTGACGTAGCTCATAAATCTCATCCGAATTCAGTGGATAGGGCGTTTGGTATATTCTGACTGACATGTTTATTTAGAACTGGGACAGAGACAGAAAGCTACCAAACCTCCACTACCCAGTTACAAATTGCAATCAACCACGGTATAGCATTTGACAGACCAAAGCGCCTACCAAAGTTGTTGTGACCAATCAACTATAACCAGAAACTGGAATGCGCACACATATTGAAGAACCTGAAGCTTAGTGCCGCTGCTGCGTAGGGGATGCCTGTTTTTGTCGCACTCATTGCGTTAAATAGCGGAAATCGCTTTCAGCACGTATTCCAATTGATAAAACCTATTTATGTAGCTAATGACCATTTCCACCAACTATTTTAGGGGAGCCCTAACGATAAGTATTCCCTAAAATGACATATTTACATGGAGAAATGTCAGTTTAGGGGATACCTATCGTTAGCGCTTACCTAAAATAGTTGGTGGAAATGGCCATATATCTATAACAAAACTTTACAAAACGTCACATGTCAGCGAGCAACAGAAAAGAACAACATTCCCCCTTGTAACATCCGTCTTTGATAGCTTGCATTTTTCTAGCGGATATGACAGTGTGAGCGCATTCCAGTTTTTGATTATAGTTCATTGGTTGTGACAGCATCATTCTCCCATCCGAAAATGATTGGTACCTGTTTGACAGACCAAACTGAGGCGAAATCGCCTTAGGTATGCGCGGTCAGAAATCATAAACCGGTCAGAGTGACACTTAGGGCGAGTATTATAAAACTACTCTGAGAATTAACTTAAAGTTAACTTCTGGAATTACATGTAATTCAAAAAGTTAACTGTCAAAGCAGTTTTATAATACCCGCCCTTAATACTTCTCTGACTGCTTCTGAGGGTAGGTTTCTCAATAGCGAGTCGTTTCCAGTTGCAATATTTACCCCGGAGTTATGCTCAACCGGGGTGACTGGCTATTGGTTGTATTCCTTTCACACCTAGGAACAGCTCCGGGGCGCTACTCGTCTTCCATTCGAAAAGTGAATGCTTTTCTGAAATGCTCAAGCCCGAATCAAACCATTTAAATGCACGAAAGCCAGCGCATCTTTTCCTTTCAAATCGGCTTCTTGTACCATGTACAGGATGAGCCAGTTTGGATACTTTAAAAAAAAAAAAACGTCAGTTTCTGAGGCTCAATTTTCATGAAATCTTTATATTGGTGCAAACCGCATTTTGATATCTTCAACCGTTTTGCAACTAGACGGCGTGTCCTAATTCTGAACATCTGAGCAACTCTGAAATCTACATAACTTTTTTCTTAACGACAGATTTCTGAATAAACGTTCTACCGATATACTTCTTCAGCTGAATCCAATGACGTACTCAATTCTTTTCAATTTGGAAACGATTTCGAAATATTGTCCAAAGTTCTTTTTTTGTATTTAGGACACCGGGACACACCTATTAAATTAATAGCTTATTGGATAGCTCCGTTTGTGCCGATTTTAAAAATAGTTGGTGGAAACGGCCATTAGTCTTGTATAGGTGATCCAATCTGGAGAGTTTTGATAGGAAACGTCAAATTTCTGAGCGGAATACAAAAAAAATTAACCCTTTCTGAACGCATTTTAAGTCTGTTCTCACCAAACCAGTCAGTGCGTTTTTGAATGGTGCAAATCGCTACAACTTCAAATAAACGTGATCGTAACTATCTGCAAGATAAATCCACCGTTCCATAATTCTATTGGTCGACGGATAACTGGCAATGAGATTACAGATTGCATATTTATCCGTCAGATTGCATACCTGCCCTGCCTGACAGTTTATCAGCAGGTGAATAAAGAATAAACCGCCCCTAAAGGTTTATCTGGTTTATCACTACAATTTTTTAGAGCCAAATATGTTGGAGACGGCTCAACCAAATATAAACTATATGTATATATTTTTGGAATCGGAAAATTGTGCTCTTCAAGATCATATAATCAAATAGAGGATATTCCATTTGAAAAAAGTTGAAAAATGGAAAATTTCAAATTTCTGACAATAAATTTTTGTTTCGGACGATGGATTCTAAAAATTTAGTAGAACACCACAATTTAAATTATTCAAAATCTCTGTATTTGAAATAAAATGTATGGGTGTCTGTCTGGACATTTATTATTCAAATAAATAAATAATAAATAACCCAGACACCCATACATTTAATTTGAAATACAGAGATTTTCAATAGTCAACCCCGCCCAATTTGTCATTACGAACAAGAATAATAAAAAGAGCTAAAAAAATAACGTTTCGTGTTTATTATTGTAAAAATTAAACTAACATTCTAAATGTACAAAAAAATAAATTAACTTTCAAAACTTCATCCAATTAACAATAATTCATGACATGAAGTCAACAAACAAACAATAATAATAATTTATAATGTTATACTAAGTATATTGCATTATTTTTCGCGCTTCTTTTTCGAGGTTGCAGGAACTGTAGCATTTCGAGTAAAATCATTCAATGACATATTGCTATCGTAATAAAAAAAATCATCTTGTTGTACTTTGGTGCGCATTCTAGCGGCACGAACAATAGGCACTGGTTCTGGCATCGGTTTTTTAACCAATCCTTTTTTTTTCCCCGTTTTACGACGTGTTGTAAAGACTTCTGAAACGCCCCAATCGTCACTTGATTCATTTTCGTCGTTATCCAAAGCATTATTATTCGTAACTGGACAAGCCATTTCGATTGGTTCTGGTAATAAATGATCATCAACAATGGTTTCTTTTATATCAATGACAGATTGGGCAAGTTCTTTATCATTTGTATTGTTTTTTAAACTACCAAACAATAAAGAGTCTGATTCTTGTACAGCAGACTTTACACTGTCAGCAATAATAGGTTTAATTATTTCTTCTTCTCTGATTTCTTCATCAATATATGCGCCTCCAACAACATTGTCATCTTCAAAAGGTTTAAAACTATGAAAGATACTTTCTGCTCTCCAAGAAGGCAATGGTACGATGCAAGCATTTTGTTCTAAACTGTGTCTTTCTTGAGCATGCATGATGCAGTCTTCCTCTCTAAAACTAACGAAAGAACATTCGGTGCACTGAAATCGGAACCATGAAAAATGGCCGGACATGTGAGAGTGCAACTCATCGTTTGTGTTGAACTTTTTATCACATGGTATGCATAAAAGTTCCAATGGAGTCATAAAGGGAAGAGCGCATTCAGGAAATGTTTTTTTCTTGTGTGAAATGTCCTCTTCAGGTTCAATGGTTTGTGTATTGGCTTCTTCTTCTGCTGCCTCTGTATTTTGTTTTTCAGTCTCACTAATCTGTTGATCATTTTGATTTATTGCATCAGCCTGTTGGACGGTTTCTGTTTCATTTATTAGTTCTTCATCAGCTTGTTCTTCTTGTTTTATTTGAACAGCCTCGTGGACATTTTGTTGTCTAGTTTTTATATTATTTGTTTCTTCATCATCAGCTTGTTGCTCTTGCTTGATTGCTTCAGCTTTGTTTGGATTGATAATTTTTTCATCTTCCTCCTGTTGCAGGTTCATTGGATATATTATTTCCTCAATAATGTTATTTACAATTAATTCACCTTCATCAACAAAAATAACGTCGGTATCTGCTTCAGGCAGTTGTTCTATTACTGTATCCTGGTTGTCCAATTGCTGATAAAACATTTCAAAAGAAACTCCATCACTTAATAAATCAGGTTCGGATTCAACGTCATCTTCTAATTCAATTACCTCCAAATTGTCTCTGGAACTAGCACATGCATCAGAGAAATTGGAATTTTGCTGTGGAGAATGATCTAGCAATAAAGATTCTACATTATTTGATCGAATTGATGCGGTATCATCAGAGTGTCCTGAAGATAAAGAAGCCTCAGCACCATCTTCAGTAATCTTGGTAGGAATACCATTTTTGTTTACTGACTCAGTTAAAACTTCTTGCATTTCATTTTCAATATTGACAATATTATCAGAAGTCTCGGTAATGACGTGATTTAAAATTGTACTGGACACAACATTATTATTTTCCAATAGATTTAATTTTTCTTCAATTCCAGTACTATTTTCCTCATCAATGTTTTCCAGCAAAATAATTCGTTTCTTAGGACAACTATGAATAGTAGGCCTCTTTCGCTTTAAAGCACCTGTGATTTTCTTGCTCTCCATAGGCATCTTATTTGATTTCGCCTTATCTACTTTTTCTTCCTTCTTTTTAGTACACATTTGCAAATGCCCCTGCAAAGCGGCTTTCCTTTCGAAATGCGTTCCGCAGCCTACGCACATGTGGAAATCTTTGTCCACTTCCATATCATTGACCCACTGTTGGAAAAAGAGAATCAATTATTATTTTTCATAATCTGTTGTTCATTTTCCTTTTTTTTTCCAACAAAATGTAAATCTTTAATTTTTTGGAGCTAGTGATAAGCAGTTGTGTTGATTAAATGAAATTTCTAAAATGCAATGAACAACTACTAAAATTTTGTCAAAGTCCAGTTTTTATACAGCTGAAAACTGACTTTGCTTCCATTATCCAATACTTGAATAATTTATAATTCCATCATCAGAGAAAATGCAGAGAATCAAGCAAACCAATATTTTCAAGATTAGCTAAAATAATCTGAAATAAAAATGAATCTTACCTGATGTACACTATCGTTATTACTCTGAGTAGGTTCAGCACGCTTCTTTATCTTAATAGAATTTTCATCTTTGCGTAGTACTTTACAATTATTATTGATTTGATGACGCATTTTTTCAACTTGAGTGCAGGGCAAGTTGTGTACTCGTAGTAAATGCCTATAGACGCACCGAGGATTAGCTAATGTTTCTTTGCAGCTTGGACAAAAGTATAGCAATCTGCTCGGGCTGTGGATACTCTGAAAATGAAAAGCCTATAGTGGCCAGTAGTTCTTGGTAGCCGGAACGCCACCTTCACGTGATTATTCAATGACTTTCGTGTGGCAAATTTCTGACTGCATGTGTGGCACGAGACATTACATTTGGGAAACAATGACTGATTGTAGATTTTGTTGCTTGTATATCCACAAATTTTTCCTTCAGGGTCTAATACAGGCACGTCATTTTCTAGTTTTTTATAATTCTCCATTACCTTAAAATAATATTATAAAGCAACAAGGATTTGATTAAAATTAAACACTTCTACCCACCTGAGTTTTTGTAAATTCGCTTGATTTATTGCATGTACCATTAACAAGAGATTGAAATATTCCAGAGTCAGTACTGTCGATTTTTTCCAATACAATATGATTGAATCTAGAAGCTTCGTCTTCAAGGTCGTCAACGTTCCACGTTAGGCTTTCCTTGGAAGCTTCAGACTCTGCTTCAGTTTCACGTAACCTTTCAACTATTTTGTCTAGCATGGAAATTCTTGCTGATGGCCCCACAATCTATAGCAATATTGATATAGAAAAAAAGATGTTTTGAGGAGGGCTGTGATTTAGGTACCTGAATTTCATCATGATGTATGTTACAGGCCGGATTAAATTTCTCCAGGCAATATTTTCTTTTGTGCAACACAAAATTTGACAAGCAACGGAAAATCGATCTGCAGATTCTGCACTCGTACATTAAATCACATTCGTAGCTTATGAGGTCTTTGACCTGGAAAAAAGTCAACATTTGAGTCTTAAGGCAAAGTTGTAAATTTAAGCTCCGACCTTACCTCATCTGTACCTGTTTGTAACAGAGCAGCAAGTTCCTTTGCTCCTCGAACACTAGTTTCAATGGGTTGTCTTAAAGCTGATATATCTTTCTCATTCTGTTTTGGCTTATCAGGTGCCTTTCCTAATGTCGTTTCAATTGGTTTTTTGGTCCTTCTTGTATTCTTGGTGACCACCATGGTTCTGTAACATTACTAGAATATAAATGAAAAACACAAATACACGTGATTTTTATATATAAATTCTATTCTTCTGACATTGACAGTTGGAAATTTGAACTTTTGAAATTGTTAACTCAGAAACTCGTGGGTTCTCTTGAGGGATGTTTTCTCACAGATGAATTATTTTTATACCTTTTGTACAAAAAGACTGGAAATGATTCTTTTTGTTTTCAAAGGAACATACTTAATTTTACAAATTTGAAAGGTATCTTCCTCACATTTTGTTTTGGCATACCTTACATATGTATTTTCACACCTAATCAAATAAAGTATGTATAGGAGGAAGAATGTTTTTAATCATCAACCTTCTTCAGGAATTAAAAACTTTGTTTTTTTCATATTCTTTCTATGTACTGCACTAGAAAAGAACATATTGGAATCATTAAGAGGAGAAACAGCCAAACTGGGTTCTGCTCAATACATCAGACAAAAGCATAGATAAGTAAGGAACATTAGGTCTTAGGTCAAAAGGAAATTCAAATAAGCTGCATCTATTCTAGAAAATCATTTACATCAAACCATCACTTGATATAGGAAAGATATAGAACAGTCACTTTCATGTGTTTGGCCTAGCGGTGCAGTAGTCACCCAGTTTTTCATGAAAAGGAAAAAATTATTTATGAAAATATTAAGAATCATACGGAAAGCAGAATGTGTAAGGAGCAGCATGGCTTTATCAGTAACAAATGTACTGTCACAAATTTGTTGGCTTTTACAAATAATTGGATTTAGTGTATACGTATTGTGCTACTAAGGCATTCGACAAGTTAGACCATCAGATATTGTTGAGGAAGCTTACTGAATTTGGCTTTTCAGTCATACTTAACTGATAGAACACAATCTGTAGAAGTTGGTGATTGCATTTCAGAACATTTCACAGCAACATTTGGTGTTCCCCAAGGTAGCAATCTGGGTCCTATATTATTTACTATAGTTATAAATAGTTTACCTAGTGTCATTGAACATTCTAATAGTTTGCTCTTTGTCAATAATTCTATATTTTTAAAAACTGTATTGTGTGAAAATGGCTGTGCTCTGTTACAAGTTGATTTAAATAGTATTGTTGATTGGTTCTCAAATGTCGATAAATGTTGTGAAAATAAAACCAATCCTTAATACCGTTAAGCACTTAAATGGATTTGCACTCTTGTCTTGAAGATTAATACACATGCATCAGAACTTTGCAAAAAAACAAGCAAGGTACCAAGTACCAAATTATTTCTCTGAAAATATTGAACCTCATAGTGAACAGAACATGAGGGACTTGTTAGGTATTCCTGCCAAAGTCTCAATGTACTTTCTTCATTGCAGTTTTGGAACAAGAAAATGGGAAAAAGTCCAATTCTACCAAATATTTTTTCTAATGGTCCCACAATATCCAATAGCAATGAACATTTGAGTTCTTCTCTAGGGGATTCCCAGGATGAATAATATGTTTTCTAAGCATGGAAACAAGTGTAATGGAGAAAATAAATCTGTAGATGCTAATGGGTGGTATTCTCTTGAATATGTGACGCAAATTAAATAAATACGTTTGTAAAAAATCTTTTGAGGACAAAAGTGTAATGTAAATGTTCAAAAAAATATAATTTCCAATGTAAAATATTTATCAAACGTTAACAGTACATCACATAAGAAAAATGTTTATTAAATAAAAAAGATCTTATGAAAGTCAAGTCTGGCAATATAATGTGCTACTAAGTGGTGATCTAAATGGACTCTCAGAAACTTAACATACTCTGCACAATTCTCCAGAACAATGGAATCGGATTCTTTCGTAATTAATGTGAAACTCATAATTTCACACCCTAAGTGTTTTTTCTAGTCTGGTTATTGATGTTATGAAAGAATAGTATCAAGTTGTATCATCTGCAATTTTTTTTTAACTATCTCTTTGTGGGAGAACACAATCTTGGATGTATATAAAGCTACGTGAACACTGAAAAAAACATATAATAGGAACATTGTGTTTATGTTGCTCGTTCCTTTAACTTAACTTGTTTCTCTATGTTTCCAAAAGTTTATTCAAGTTGCTTATTGTTTACAGTTGCAGCAACAAAAGTTCCTATAAGTTACTTGTTTCTATATTCAGCGACAAATAACAAAGGAAATATAGGAACATTGGTAAACATTTTGTGTTTCTAAACTTAATTTTTATCAGCGTGGATATGTCTATGGTGTGAATATGTTGTTGCTCGTTCCCACAACTCGAAACTAGAAACGGACACACTGCTAGTGTAGACACAGCGTTTACTGTTGTCGCAACAGAACAAAACCTTCACAAAAATAAGTAAACATGGTGTGGACACGGAACTTTTGCTGTTGTTTCTGTTTCCGTAAACAGCTTGTGGCAACCAGCAACAAAATGTTCCTATGTGTTTCTTTGGTGTGGACTAAGCCTAACGAACACTGTGGTGGGTATCTTCTGCTCAAAATACATTCAATATTGAATGTATTTCGAGCAAATATTGGCTTTGTAAAGCAGAAAGATTCATATGGAAACCTAAACAGGCTTTGCGCAAAAATACTCAAAACAACACTGATGGGTTAACTTTGGAACTCTACCAGCCTTGTTGAGTACAATTTACAGTTTATTGCTAATAAGTGGGAATAAAGACATCAAATGAAAGAAGATTTTACTTGTTCAGCAATGTTTTAATTTTTCTTCACAATCACATAAAATTCATCTTTTTTTTACTACTTAGAAAGAGTTATTGATTAAAATGTTTGAGACACAAACACAAAATCACAGGAAAACATCGGAAACAATGAAAACAAGAATCTTTACAATATATTTTTTTTGAAACCATCTTTATTAAATACTTGCAACTCGACTTTCAATAAAAGTTACCTACTACATTTTTTTAAGACAATTCTCTAAGGAGTCTTATGCAACACTGGTAATGAGGTTTACCAAACTTAACAACTAAGATAACAGTGGCAAATTAAATTTAAATTTACCAGAAGTAAACAAAAATATAATGTACCTATATGAATCACAATATAGTATAATGATACATATTATATACATACAAAAATAAAATAAAAATATATCAATAGGTAACAAATTTTGAAATTTAAAAGTAATATCTAACTAAAAATAAAAATACAGTACATGACAATAGAAAGAAAGGAGGTAGGTACCCTATATCAAAATATAAAACATCACAAAAAATATCACATAGGTTTCAATGGCAACTATCCCAAAAGCTTCAACTTGAGATTCCTTTTGAAAGATATTGAACTTGTTGAAAATAAATCCAGGTTACAGTCAGTACAGTGTTAGTCACTCTATCAGGTACTTAGCTTATGTTTTTGACTAAATATCATAACTTTTGGATGTCCAACTTCTTATTTCCTGGTCGAGGCGATTCTTAAATGGATTTCTGGAGGTAGAAGTTATGGTGTCAACACTTAGGCGGTTCCAATTGTAGACCACTCTATTGATAATGAAATTTCCCTGCAGAAGCTTATTGCTTTTGATCATGACCTCTTAGATGTCTCTTAGATTCCATGCGCATAGTGACCATTGATTATTTTATGTATTTCAATGAGATCACCTCTGATCCTCCTGTCCATCAAAGTTGTGAGGTCTAATCTGGTTAATCTGGTTATTTTTCTCTGAACTCTCTCTATCTGCTCTATATCTTTGACGCAGTTTGGGTTCCAGATAGTTTGGGCATATTCATGTGTTGATTTTACATACGACTTGTGAAGTTTCAAGATCATTTCTTTTGATAGGTCTTTAAAGGCTGTCTGAATAAGGTAGATCATTGAACTAGCCTTTTTGGACATTTGTGTGATATGTGTAGGTATTCCATTTTAGGTCAGATCTTTGATTCCTAGGTCTTGTTGTTTTGTTACTTGTTCTTTCCATTTGTTCAAAGAAATAATGGAATTTGGGATTGATTTAACTAATATGTAGGACAGTGCATTTATAATCATTCAGAGGCAACTGCCAACTGCCACTCATTTCTCTATTTCAACATAATTGTACTAGGTATATCCGTTAAATAAGTTCTAATTGATGTATGTACAAGTCCCCTAAATCCCATATTATCTAATATCCTTAACATTCATTTGGTCCTGTCCTGGGGTAAAATCTGGGCAGAATTACGGTTTAATCTTCATCCATATTTAAATGGTCTATGACATGATCAAGAACTTGGAAACTACAATAAATTAATTTTACCATGATAAGTCTATCTCCTAAGGAAGAAGAGAGGTCAAATGGATTTCTTTTTTTACTTCAAAGTCTAGCCTGAAGAGGTTAATCTTAGTGAAGATAAATTCTCTTTTTGCAAGATTTCAACAATAGTTGTTGGACAAATGATGTAAAGATTGCTGAACAAGCAAAAAAATCCTTTATTTTGCTGTCCTGAAATTTCTTATCGGCATTAGTAATGCAGTCAATGCGGACAAAAATTGCTAAATTACAGTATTATTGACCTATATTGTAATGCAAAAACAGCTCTGATTTTGCAAGTTTATTCAAGAATTAAAGAAATATGTTTACCACCTTTGAAACTTACCTACCTATCCGGAAATATAATACATTTTTTGATTAGGTATAATATCAAGGTCCTGCTGTGCATCACATGTATAAATATACCTATAAATTTCCATCAAAGAAATATGGTTTCTCAAATAGGCAAATTGAAGCTAGAATTTAGTCTTTAATTAGCTGTAATGAGCATTCAACTAGTTTTGAAGTAATTTTGATAATTTCTTAGGGGGACTTTTTCTATCTGCCTACACAGTAAACTGATAAATATCTATAGTTAATTACCTACTTAAGTCAATAGAACCAGAAGTTTACATTTAGTAATATATGCAATATTATTTGAAAGAGCCACTAGAAAATCCATTACAAATATTAAATATAGAAATTATGTTCTAAAGGGCAAAAAGAATAAAATTTACACCCAGTGTCTGTCTCAACTTTACACAGTAAATGAACGCGTAACCCTTACAAATTATATAGGGAATTAATCAGCAGACTTCAACAATTACGTGAAAGTTTATTATTTCCTTTTAAACAAATTTAAAATATTAAAAAATTATTAATAATTACCAATCCTAGATATAGGTAATTCACATCACTTATGCAAAACGGCCATTTTTCTATTCTTTTTTCTCTGTCGCTCTCGTCGAGAGGAATGCCGGTAGAGTAGTACTCCCAATAGCATTATTTTTAGGCTCTAGATTAGAGATGGCAGCACAAGAATTGAATATTTTTATCTCTTTTTATTCTTGCTCTTTAAAAAGAGATAGCCAAGTATTATTTTGATAGAAGGAATTTTATTTTTTAAAAAAGTTAGGTTATGTGTGTTATGTCATGGGGAATTTGAAAACTCAATTTTTTTTACAATTTTACAAAGAAACAATATAATTGCATTATTACTATGAGCTTTCCACGTTTTAGGAATGTTTTGCTTCACAGCAAGGTACCAATCTCCATCCGTGTCAATTTATTTAAATATAAAATTTTTGCTTTTTTTCCTGTAGGCTCTAATAAATGTTGCAGATTTAAATCGGAGTTTGAAAACTAAAAACACACTCAGGCCTTTGCTAGGGGCTTTGCAATGTAGCGATATAAAACTAGTTTCCACCTATGAAGTTAAAAGTACTCAGAAAAGTGACAGTTTGGTTCAGAGGATACTTAAGAAAATACCTTTTCTGAATGTCGACAAAGTTGTAAGTAACTTACTGCTCAGAATATTGTTATTTAACTACCAGTGTATTGTAATATATGCCATGCCACTTAATGCCATGTCATTTAATAATAATCAATGATTTGACATCTGATAATCTGAGCTGCTTTCTGGTGCCTCCCTTTGAGCGCTCCCGAGTTACTCCGAAGTACTCTGGCTAAAGTTTGACCCGTTTGGTTTCAAGCGTTCAAGTGCAAAACGCGAGGCAAAACGCATTGAGTATGACAGGTGCGAGGACAGGTGTGAAGTGCGAAGTGCTCTAGGAACACCCGAAAGCGGCTCAGATTTCTAGGAAGTACCTATTACATCCTGAGCTCTGGGAAGTACCTATTACAATACGTATACTTCTAACAGCACATTATAAATCTAAATTGAAAATAGGAACAGGTAACAAAAGAGCAAGGGGCAAATCACCTAGGAATTCTTCGCAAAAAATGTGAGGAATTTGTGGGGAATTTGAAGCAACTCGTCGGAATTTATGAGAATTTGGGGAATTTATAGAAAATTAGAGAAATTTATGGGGAATTTGGAGGAATTTGTGAGGAATTTAAAGGAAATTGTAGTCATGATGTCACTAAGGTTCACATTCTTATTATAAGAAATATGTACTAATAAATGGGAATTTAAAAAAATCTAGTTTTATGTCGAACGTTGGACATTCACTTTCATTAAAAAAATTCTCCCAAAATTTCACTTCATGATTCACAGGTCCAAATTAAAAAAAATAATAATGAGTACAGTTCGAGGTACAGTTTTTGTAGGCTGATTTCCAAGATTCTTCATGTTGTTATTTTCCACTGGAAAAGTTTCAAATTTTGGGAGAATGAGCTGCGAACCTTCTTCTTCATAGGTATGCAAAAAGTTTCAAAATTCTCTGTTCAGTAGTTTTCGAGGAAAACTTTGAATTGTGTGAGACGATATTTTCTACTTGAGTTTCAACTAATTCAGTTTTTGTAAGTTGATCTCCAAGATTCTTCATGTTATTTTTCGCTAGAAAAATTTGAAATTTTGGGAAAATGAGCTTCTCACCTTCATTTTCACATGCAAAAAATTTCAAAATTTTCCCTTTACTAGTTTTCCAGGAAAACTTTGAAATGTGTGAGACTGTATTTTTAATTATTTCAGTTATTAAGAGTTGATTTCCAAGATTCTTCACGTTGTTATTTTCCACTGCAAAAATATGAAATTTTGGGAAAATGAGCCTCTGACTTCCTTTTCACATGTAAAATTAGTGTAATTAGTTTTCCAGGAAAACTTTGAATGGTGTGAGACTATATTAACAATTATTCCAGTTTTTGTAAGTTGATTTCCAAGATTGTTCATGTTGTTATTTTCCACCGGAAAAATTTGAAATTTCGGAAAAATGAGCTTCTCCCCTTACTCTTTACATGCAAAAAGTTTCAAAATTTTCCCTTCACTAGTTTTTCAGGAAAACTTTGAGATATGTGAGACTGTATTTTCAACTAATTCAGTTTTTGTAGGTTGATTTCCAAGATTCTTCATGTTGCTTTTTTCCACTGGAAAAATTTGAAATTTTGGGAAAATAAGTCTTTAACCTTTCTACTCTTCAGATGCAAAAAGTTTCAAAGTTTGGCCTTCACTAGTTTTCTAGGAAAACTTTGAACTGTATGAAACAGTATTTCTAATTAATTCAGTTATTGTAGGTAGTTTAGAGTAGAAGCGGCAACACCGCATGGTCAAAAATATTTTTAAAGTGTAGATCATGGTCGTTTATCCCGGTTGCCAAATTTTCAAAATGATCCGCTTTTCAGTTCTCCATAAACGTCTAATACGCCATCCACCGTGGGACACCCTGTATATAAAGCTTTAAATTCATAATCTTTGTTGCTGAAAAATTTCACAGTCTATTTTGAGTCAAATTTGGAATATTGTTGTTATGTGGATACAAGGTTGTTTTGTATATTTTGACAGTATATTGCCTGCTTATGAAGTAATGATATAATGTAAATACAAAGTAAATAGGGATTATCGGGGATTCACGAGAACCGCTAGAAAATATAATTTTTATATACATATGCAGGTTGCGCGGAACATTTATTATGATAACAATTAAAATATTTCTTAGGATTATTTTTTTGAGAAACGATAAGATCAAAACTGTATAAATAAAATAATATTAGAGAAAACAAATTAGCATTTCTATTCCGGACTCGCAAACACCCAGAACTTATGTGGTCCTGAATAAAATATGACATATTACATGTGCGGTAGAAAACGTAATATAGGTATCAACTTGTCTAATGTATAAAATAGTATCTACAACATTTTTTATACAATATTTAAATTATTGTTTCCTAGAGATTTGTAGATAACAGTAGTTTGTATGCTTTGAAACCCATGTATCACGTATAACATTTTATCTACAATGTTTTTTTTGTTTTTGATTTTATTTACTTTCACGTGAATAAATACGTCAGCATTTTACACATATAGAATATAGAGCCAAATATACTGTATAAGTCACTAATCTCATACAAAAAAATTATTTTGAAAGTATTTCTCTTTTCCGCAGAAAATAAAAGCCTCAGGTTACTTACTCTACGAAAATATCGCAGACAGAATAGACTACATCAATTTTTTCGAAAAATACAAACTCCCCGACACATTCTATTCGTGGTTCGTCATAACCGAAATGCACATTTGGATGTTATCGGCCAGGGCGATGGCCGAAGAAACAAACGGACCCATCTTGCGAAATTCTATCGTCGAAGCTTTGTGGGCTGATGTGGCCAAAAGGACCAAGAGACTCGGAGTAAGCAAACAAAAACCTGGATTTATTAGATGCTTATATATTAATTTTAGGCTGCAAATCCATCGATAATGAGAAGCCAAATAGCAGAATTGTCTGAACAACTTCAAGGGGCTTTTATTGGGTATGATGAAGGGTTGCAGTCTGATGATGTAGTGTTAGCTGGAGCCTTGTGGAGACGGATGTACCAAAAACAATATGCTGCGCCTCATAATTTAGAAGGTTTTGTTAGGTATATTAGAAAACATGTAAGTTACTTCTATTATTGTACATATTTATTGATAAAAATATTATTTTTGTTCCAGATGTATTTATTAGATAATTTATCTATGGAGGAAATACTTAATGTGAAACATGTTAAATGGGAAGGAGAATTCAAGAGGTAATTTGTTGTAAATATTACTGTAATATATAAGTATTTAATTGTTTGAAATAAAAGTTTTAAGATTTTAATTTTTTCATTTATATGTTAATCATAGCGTTTTTATAATATTAATCAGCAAGTTTGTGGCACATTTCATTGCAGCCTTCGTCAAGGACATTCGTCTGAGGACAAACCTTAAAAAATCTGAGAATGAATCAGCATAAAATGCTCTCATCTACAACACTATAATTTTAAACTGTTAGTGAACGTCTTTGTTTCCATAAAAAAATATTACATATTCAGGTTTTTGCATTATTGTGGTATAATTTTTCAATAAACTTTGCTGTTATATCGTCAGGAGTTCGTTTGACGATGGAGCAAATTTAATAGGGAGTATGGTACCTGTAAAATAGGACTCAGAGATCAAGGAAAATGAAAGGTAACTTATTCAATTATCTTTTGATTTTTTTTTTTTCAAGAACTTTTATTCAGAGGTCAATGATTCTGTTCTTATAACGTTGATAAGTAATTCTTTGCGGCACTTTTCATTACACCCTTCTGCAAGTGCAGCGTCACCTTGTCTCACGAAAAACCTTTTAAAAAAAAATCGTTATCATTAGAACTTTCATTGATACCTATAAAATGATAAATTACTTACCTCCAATATTGATCAAATAAATATCCATCATGTCTTAATCTTTGAGCCAACCAATGAAAATTGTGCGGAGATAAATCGCTAAACGAATACGCTTCTTTCATAGAATAAAGCCGTTGCCATCTGGGCGTTCTGTTGGGATACTGATTCGCTTCAGTCAAATTGAAATAATAAGTTTCTATATCGATTATGTCAAAGGTATCCGGATCCACAGTCAAAATTTTATAATTTGGATTATATTTAGTATAAGGGGTTAAACTGGCACCATTGAAAGCGACGTTAATTGGACTACCATCAATTTTACTGTAGAATATTTTCAAACCATCAGTATGGGTATGACCAAAGAATTGACCTTTGATTATGTGGGAGAATCTTGTAATCAACGAATTATAATTCACTTCCCATGGTTCTATGCATTCTTTTTCGCCTGGAAATACATGAGCTAAAATATGAACAAACTGGCCTTTACTTTCAGCTTCGGTTAGTTCGTTTGTTAGGAACAAGAGTTGCTCTTTGAAAAACGTTGTATCATAAAGCAACCACCTAAAAATTGATTCAGATATCTACAAAGTAACACTTAATGCTCCTTAAATACTTGCCAATTATAAATATAACAAATATTGTTATTTAAAACGATAACTCTCAATTTGCTATTGACTAAAATTGCATAGTAGCCTTGTTTTTTCACAGTGGATAGAGCTTCTTGAGGCAACCAACTGCTCCATAGATTAGCATTTAATTTGTAGAGCCAGTTTTGAGAAAAGGTTTCACCACTTATGTGTGGCGGTGCAAAACTAAAATTGTGACAATGATTTTTAAATGATATCCTCTATTTTGTACCCGAGGGGTAAACCACCTTGGAATTATATTGGTTAAGGTAACAAGCATGTGGAATTTCAGTGGAATTTAAAATTTTGTAGTTTAGAAACTGCTCATTTTCATTTAAGAACGGCGAGAGGTCCAAAAATAAGTAGAACAGAGATAAATCATGAAATGCAAGTATTTTTTACTCATTAGTTGAAAATTTAATTAATTTTCAGGTCAGAATTTTTCTTATCAATGAGTGAATTAGTCACAGAGCTGAAAAATACTTCGGAGTATCAGATCGATTTCAAACTTTCAGCAGTTATCAACTAGAATATTTTCATGAAACAAGACAAATTTGAAGTTAATCTGAAACTCAGAAATAAAATTATGAGTTTTTTTGCAACTTAATACCGGAAAAAGTTGGAAAATTCACGTTAAATCACCTTTGAAAAATCCTGAAAAATTCTTAGGAGTATCAGATCGATTTCAAAGTTTCAGGATTTATTAGCCAGCATGCTTTCATCAAACAAGGCAAATTTGAAGTCGATCCGAAGCTCAGAAATAAAATTATGAGTTTTTTTCCACATTAATACCAGAAAAAGTTGGAAAATTCATGTTAATCACCTTTAAAAAAACCTGAAAAAATACTTCGGAGTATCAGATCGATTTCAAACTTCCAGGATTTATTGACCAGAATGTTTTCATCAAACAAGACAAATTTGAAGTCAATCTGAAGCTCAGAAGTAAAATTATGAGGTTTTTTCCAACTTGATACCACAAAAATTTGGAAAGTTCACGTTAAATCACCTTTGAAAAATCCTGAAAAATACTTCGGAGTATCAGATCCATTTCAACCTTTCAGGATTTATTAATTAGAACGTTTTCATCAAACAAGGCAAATTTGAAGTCAATCTGAAGCTCAGAAATAAAATTATGAGGTTTTTTCCAACCTAATACCAAAAAAATTTGGATAGTTCATGTTAAATCATCTTTGAAAAATCCTGAAAAATACTTTGGAGTATCAGATCGGTTTCAAACTTTCAGGATTTATTAACCAGGATGTTTCCATCAAACAAGGCAAATTTGAAGTCAATCTGAAGCTCAGAAATAAAATTATGAGGTTTTTTCCAACATATTACCAGAAAAAGTTGGAAAACTCACGTTAAATAATCACATTTGAAAAATCCTGAAAAATAATTCGGAGTATCAGATCGATATCAAACTTTCAGGATTTATCAACTAGGATGTTTTTATCAAACAAGGCAAATTTGGAGTCAATCTGAAGCTCAGAAATAAAATTATGAGATTTTTACCGACTTAATACCAGAAAAAGTTGGAAAATTCACGTTCAATCACCTTTGAAAAATCCTGAAAAATACTTCGGAGTATCAGATCGATTTCAAATTATCAAGATTTATTAACCATGATGTTTTCATCAAACAAGGCAAATTTGAAGTCAATCTGAAGCTCAGAACTGAAATTATGAGGTTTTTTCCAACTTAATACCAGAAAAAGTTGGAAAATTCGCGTTAAATCACCTTTGAAAAATCCTGAAAAATACTTCGGAGTATCAGATCAATTTCAAACTTCCAGGATCTATTAACCAGGATGTTTTCTTCAAGCAAGGCAAATTTGAAGTCAATCTGAAGCTCAGAAATAAAACTATGAGGTTTTTTCCAATTTATTACCAGAAAAAGTTGGAAAATTCATGTTAAAACACATTTGAAAAATCCTGAAAAATATTTCGGAGTATCAAATCGATATCAAACTTTCAGGATTTATCAATTATAGGATGTTTTTATCAAACAAGGCAAATTTGAAGTCAATTTGAGGCTCAGAAATAAAATTATGACGTTTTTCCAACTTAATACTAGAAAAAGTAGGAAAACTCACGTTAAATCACTTTTGAAAAATCCTGAAAAATACTTCGGAGTGTCAGATCGATTTCAAACTATCAGGATTTATTAACCAGGACGTTTTCATCAAACAATGCAAATTTGAAGTGAATCTGCAGCTCAGAAATAAAATTAGGAGGTTTTTTCCAACTTATGACCAGAAAAAGTTGGAAAATTCACGTTAAATCACCTCTGAAAAATCCTGAAAAATACTCCGGAGTATCAGATCGATATCAAACTTTCAGGATTTATAAGTTAGGATGTTTGCATCAAACAAAGCAAATTTGAAGTTAATTTGAGACTTGTAGAAACAAAATTATGGAGTTTTTTCCAACTTGATGCCAAAAAAAAGTGTAAAATTAATATGTCAACTTGGCTTCAAAAGTCCGGTGAACGAGCGGAGCGAGTTCCGCAGCAATTTACTTATGAATTTCACTCATAAGTTCAATAACTTATTCATTTTTAATTCAAAATTTTCACTGATTAGTTCAAAAACTCCTCATTTCAATATGAAAACATTCAATTTCAGTGTAATTCCAGTACGATTTCCTGGGATTCCTTTAAAAGTGGGATTCTGGTGCACCTACATATTTTTCAAGGTGGTTTACCCCTCGCTTGTACCTATTGTGTTCCTTCATTATACATTACTTACACATTCAAAGGAGTTGCTTCATGATTTCCTATGACAGGCAAGACGGGAACATTTGGAAAATATTCCTTCAAACTTTGAAATGCGTACGCAATTTCCGCAGAGTTATCCTCCTTAGAGGCCTTCCAAGCAGAATGATCGATTATATCGCCAGTAAAATAAATGAGATCAATTTCTTTGTGAGTATTACTAATATAATTCAATGTGTTGGCGTACAACCAAGGCGGTATGTCGCAGTTATAGTCGCCCCATGATCCGGCGTTTTTGCCCCTCAAAGGATTACCTAAGCCTCTTTTGCAGCAAACTGGATATCCACAGTTTGATACTCCTCCTACTTCGTAGTCATGCGATATGTGGATGTCGGTTAAATGGAGGATTTTTAAAGGTGCTGATTGGTTGCTACCAGATTTTAACAGCTAAAATATACAAAATCAGATATAAATTATTGAAGTAGATAAATTCTACCATTGATTTCATAATTGGTGGTCCTCCTTCTGGCATATCTATACGCCAAGTCAACGCTGGGTGGCTGTAATAGCAATTTTCATTTTGTAATAGAACTGAACAAGCGTATTCTGGAGTCAGTATTTGGCTGTATCTGATAATATACTCGAGTATGGGCTAAAAACAATTAACAATAAATATCCTTTGTGAAAGAGGAATTGTATTTCAACTTGCCTTATTAATTTTCACAATCTCGTGACAAAAATCACCCAAAGTCCAAGTACTAAAAGCAATGTACAATTTACAAATTTCCCTGCCAACAATTTCAACATTCACCAAATTAGTTTGTAGACTTCTCACTAATGTTTGGCAAGCTTTGCAGATCAATTTGCTTGTGGAAAATAGGATTCTGGGGTTACTTATTTCTTCGATTATGCCAACTTTAGTTAGGGCAGTTTCAAAATAAGTCAAATTCATGGGGGTGTAAGGGTTGATTTTCAAAAATTTAGCTAATTGTTTTTGGAGCGTTGCTGAAAAAAAATCAATGAGAAGTTCATTTGAGTAAACAAATATTAACAAAGAAGCCTTTAGATGTATGAGAACTTAATTAGGTATAATTTATTATTCTCCTGAATGCAACCTCCAGCTGATTATGCATTTATACATAAAATCAGCTTATAAAATTAATTGCTAATTGACTGAGAAAGGCAATAACCTTGCAATTATTGCGGTATTTTTCAACAACTTTTTACGAAAAATCCTTACTGAAAGCACTCTCGACAGATTCTAATGTTTCACTATTCTCATCTTCCACTGGAAAATGACAAGAAACACTCAACGCACATAACAGCAGTACGGAAAATTCAATTTTCATTGTCGCGAAACAGGCTTTCGCGATCTTGCACTTAACATTGGCTCGACCAAGACTGTTTTTTTATATCTTTTGATTTTATTTATATTATGGAAAAGCTTTGAACAAAACAAGCCTTTAGCTTGCATTTAATCTGTATCTTTTAGACTTTGATAAATATGTATCAGTGCATTTATTATTATTCGATTAAATTCAATAAGACTTAATTAGGAAAGACCCATAGATTCATTTTTCAAAAAAAATTGAATTATAATATTTGAATTTGCTGAAATGTATCTTTTTTCTAATTTATTTGATTATGTTTTGGAGATAAGCATAGGCAATCCAGGGGGCATACAAATGGTAGATAACTAGAAAAAAGTGAAAAATATCTTTTATTCTGCTTTGACATTTTTTTTTCCATCTTTGGCCTCAGTAGCTACAGAAAACAGATAATGAAAGTTACAACTAACATACAAAATACAAATGCGAAACCAGATTGATTTGTCAAGTTGTTAAATTTCTAATTTTGTAATTACTTCCACTCAATATATTTCTTAATCGATATCCTGCACATCCGTTTTCTTGGTAATTCAGACACCCAGAAGATAGTTCAATAGGAGAAACACTATATAGAACGTAGAACTTCAAAGACTATTTCAAACTAATTTATATGTTTTAAAGTCTGGTAGTCAGTCTACTCCTTTGGCAGAGCATTCTGTTAATCTCATAGATGAAACTCCAATTTCTGTGCCTCCGTATCGGATGTCTGAAATAAAAAAAGAGCAATTATTGCGAAAAGAAATTGATAAACTCTTAGCCGATGGAACTATAGAAGAGTGCGAGTCTCCCCATGCTGCTGCTCCTGTGGTTCTTGTTCCAAAAAAAGATGGTGGCATTAGGTTGACTGTTGATTACCGCAAGTCGAATAAGAAAACAATAGTCGACAGATACCCTTTGCCTCGTATTGATGATACATTACATGCTGCAAAGAAAACTCGTTTTATGACAACTCTGATCTGGTTATCATCAAGTATAAGTCGAACCATCTGATCGAGATAAAACTGGTTTCATTTGTCCTTTTGGAACTTTTAGATATATAAGAATGCCATTTGGGTTACCTAATGCTCCATCCACATTTCAAAGACTAATCGATAGATTTCGTTCTGAATTTCAAGATATTATTATTTCATCAAACTCATTTGAACTCCGCATGTTAGTGATTTACAAAAAGTTTTTGATCGCTTAAAATTATTCAAGCTTCAATTAACCGTTCGAAATGCAAATTTTCTTATTCTTCTGTCAATTACCTCGGTCATGTAATAACTTCTTCTGGTATTGCTCCAAACCCAGATAGAGTTTCTGCTATTTCAAAAATACCAAATCCACGAAATTTCAAAGAACTACAAACTTGTTCCTGGTTTCGACGTTTTATAAAAAAATTCGCAGAAATTTCAAAACCTCTCACTTTTCTCACTAAAAATAAACTCAAATGGATCTGGGGCTCAGATCAAGTCAAGGCTTTTAACAATCTGAAATCGCTTTTAACGTCTAGCATATGGTGTTTAGCTTTGCAATCCTTTGATGTATGTATTGAATATAATCCTGGAAAAGATGATGTTGTTGCTGATATGTTATCTCGCCCTGCAATTCCTGCAGCAGAAGCCAATCTTGTTATTGCCGATTCACTTAGACAAAAAGTAAATCAGATCAGACGTGAACAAATGAATGACCCAGATCTGGATAAAATAATCCAATGTTTTGAAAACTCTGAAAATGGTTCTAATGTTGATTTTAAAAGATGGACTGAGAGAAGCTACATCATGAACTTTGGCGTACTATACCGTTATGTCCCTGAATTAGATGAAGATGAAGCTCAACAAGTAGTACCGAAACCCCAAGTTCCTCAAATCCTTGCCGAGTACCACGATTCTTCATTAGCTGGCCATTATAGTGTAGAACGTACTTATCAAAGAATTGCAAGTCGTTTCTTTTGGCCTGGAATGCGAAGTACCATATCTGATTACTGATTATGTTAGTAAATGTGTAGACTGCCAACGTTATAAAGCTACAAATCTCAAACCTACAGGACAAATAGAGGCTCCTATTCAAAGACAGCGTTTTGAAACTATCTCTATTGATTTATTTGGTCCATTACCTGGAACGCACGATTATTACAAATGGATTTTCATAGTAGAAGATGCTACAAGTTGATGGGGTACACGTAATTTGGTTCCCAAGATAATGAGGGTTAGCATAGCAACATATTCCAAGGTCAGCTGAGCACCTGCTTTGTGTACGAAAAATGATTTTCTTTGTCAAATAGGTGACTTTCAAGGCCAAGGTCGAATGACGTCACTTTCAAGGTCAGAGTAAGTGTCTACTGCGCATGCGGAGACCAGCTAGGGTATACTAATACTACTAAAACCATACTTATAGTTATCCAAAATCAATAATTGCTATCCACGTATACCCTAAATTATTTCGGGATTCTCTATAGAAAATATTATCAGCAATTTACGAACTTCAAACACAAGCGGTAACACATAAACTAAATTCAACAAGATTACTAACTTATTAAAGTCCATACAGTCCATACAGTTTGTAAGTGCAATAATGCAACAAGTTGCATATTGCCTAGGATATGACCAAATTTTAATTCCCAGATACCACCCAGAAGCTAACCCTACAGAACGGAAAAATCGAGATCTAACGCCTCAGCTTTCCATACTTGTTGATAATGACCATACAAAATGGAAAGAAAAACTTCCAGCAGTCAGTTTTTCTATGAACACAATGTATTCCCAAGCTACAGGTTTTTTCGCTGCTTACCTCACTTTTCAAAGAGAGTTAAGAACCCCTGATGGTGTCATTAGGTTCACTGTTGAAAGCGAAAACGATAGCCGACAGATACTCCTGGCCTCTTATTGATGATACATTACATGCTCCAAAGAAAACTTGTTTCATGACAATTTTGGAGTTGAGATCTGTTATCATCAAATATCAGCCAAACCATCTGATCGAGACAAAACTGGTTTCATTTGTCCTTCTGGAACTTTTAGATATACAAGGACGCCATTTGGGTTACGAAATGCTCCGTCCACATTTCAAAGACTAATTGATATATTTCGTTCTGAACTTCAAGATATTAACATATAAGCGTATCTCGATGATAAAGTCCATTCCAAAATATTTCGTTGACTTCACGGCTATAAAACCCTACCATAAATTAGATAGCTATTAGCCTCTATTGTGTAGGTACCAGGTTCTTTTATGTAGGTACCGGGTTCCTTAATACCCACTCAAAGGTTTACAGGTACGGATTTTGTGCCCATTATAATGAAAACGAAAAAGGCGTTTCATAATATTATTTATTTATGTTATAATCTTATACTATCTTAATAATTACCAAAACTTAATATCTAATACAATATAATACAATACACAATTCAACCAAACCTAATCTATATTTAGTTCCGTTTCACTGTCACTGTCATCTTCATCTATGCCTAAACTAATTATTAATGGCTTAACATTAATACCTATTGAATTATAGGTTTCTTCAACTTTTATAACGTGATTGACAGAATTTTTCCAGCTTTGAACTGGAATATTATCTACACATTTTCTAATTAAATCTATTACAGCAGTACTAAGTGTAGGAGAGGTGTTTCCTCTCCTAACCATTGCCTTCAATTCATGCCAGATATGTTCTATTGGATTGAAAATACAATAATATGGAGGAAGACGCAAAACTGTATGACCACAAGCGCTAGCAAGCAAGTTCTACTTTTGTATTACTTGCATTGGGCACTTTATTTTTTTGACGGCTGTGGTAACTAGCGTTGTCCATCACAATTATACTGTTTTCTGGTATGTTCGGAAGAAGGCGATTCTGAAACCATTCTTCAAATAATTTTGCATCGGTATCTTGATGATAATCTAATGATGAATTGGCTATTTTTTTTGCGGATAGCAGCAAAGAGTTTGGAACAAAACCATTTTCTGATCCGGCATGCAAAATTGTAATCCTCTGGCCTTTATTTGAGGGTGCTTTGGTTTGACATTTGGAGGTTGAGTCGCTCCATCCTCTTTTGGGAGTGTCATGGGTATCAAACCATGTTTCGTCAAGATATATTATCGGACGATTTTCTGCCCTATATTGTTTTATGGAACTTAAATATTCTCGACGCCATGCTTGTAATCGCTGGGATTCCATTAGCACTTGCCTCTTATTAATGGTTTGATATTTGAAACCCATTGCTTTCACAATTCTCCAAAGGCTTGTTCTGCTACATAATATATCAGTTTCGTCTTCTATAAGTACCTTTTTTAGAGAATCTATTGTAGGTATTATTTGTTTACTGTACAAATCATAAATTTTCCTACGAATCAACTCTTTATCCGCTTCTTCAACCTTTCTTGACTTGCCGCTGTCACACCGTTGCTTCCTTGGCTGGATGCGTTTGGCTACGATATCTTTAACCGTAGATAATGGAGTTTTGGTTAAAACGGATGATTCACTCACACTTTGATTATGATTATAGCCTCTCTGCAGAAGGGTTAAATAAACGTTCCTCACAATTTCCTTGGCATCTAGCGATAAATGTTTTTTTTTTGAAATACCACTTCCGGTTGCAATACTACCATCATTTGCCCATGGACGCCACATTTTTTTTGTCAATATAACAGCTCTAGTTCTGCACAAAGACTAAATAATTTAACTAAAACATTCACCCACATTTACATGTACATCTCACCTAGGCAGGTATAATAAATAAAATCAACCCGGACCTGCTCACAGGTAGTCGAAGTTTGTGGTTGAGGGTATCATCAACATTTTATTGATACTTGAAGAGTCAACGAATTATTTTGGAATGGACTTTATAGTTATTTCATAAAGCTCATGTTAGTGATTTACAAAAAGTTTTTGATCGCCTAAAATTATTCAAGCTTCAATTTAACCGTTCGAAATGCAAATTTTCTTGTTCTTCTGTCAATTTCCTCGGTCATGTAATAACTTCTTCTGGTATTGCTCCCCAAACCCAGATAAAGCTCCTGCTATT